ATGTAAAAAATGATGAATGAATGAATACATGCATAATTTTCAGGAACTATTTTACCCTCTTGCAGTATTAACAGCTAGTTAAGAACTCTTTGTTAGGGTCTTTACAAATGTCTGAGCTTTGAGGTTAGTAATTACTATATCTAATCTACTTCTTTTTGTGTCGAGGCACATACGAAGTTTTCTCATCTTTGGTTTTGTATAAAATAATGACGTTATAAAAGAGGTATAGATAACTACTTGAATGAATAATTTACTTTGACAATTATCTTTGTATTAATATGTTCTGATATTCTGGATAAGAATAAGTGTTATAAAAATTCCTGCCACATTTGCCTGGTTTTGTTTTTTTTGTTTCAGACTTTTAAAAATTTAGTAAGTGAAACAGAACATTGCAGATAGAGCTGTGTCTCCTTTGGTCTCCTACTGGTGTCACTTTCCTCTTTCTTCCCCTTCGCAGAAGTAATGATTGTGAATTTGATGTACAGTCTTCTAGTCACTATACTCAATATTGTTTACTTATAATAGTGTGTAGAGATGCTATTTTGTGTATATCATGTTGCATCTTTTTTTCCATCTAATATAGTTTTGACCCAGAAACAGACTCACACATACGTAGTCACTCAGTATTAGAAAGAGGTACCTTCCAGTGCAGCATAGAAAGGATGGTCTTTTCAATAAATGGTACTATGTCAATTGGATATGCATTTGGGAAAATATGAATCTTTACTCCTATCTTATACCATATACCAAACTCTATTCCAGATGTATTTCAGGTTTAATTGTAAGTGGCAAAATAATAAAGCTTTTGGAAGAAAACATAGGAGAGCGTCTTTATGATCTTTGAGGACACAAAAAGCACTGTGAAAGGAAAAAATTAGATAAATTCTTTTTATCAAAAGATACCATTAAAGTAATGACATAGGTCACAGAGTAGGAGAAGATATTTGCAATACTATATCCAACAAAGAACTCATATCTGGAATATATTAACAGTCATCCAAATCAATAAGAAATAGGCAACCCAGATTAAAAAAAAAAAAAGCAGAAGACTTTAATAGGCACTTCACAAAAGAGCACATTGAAATGGCCAATAAGTGTATGAAAAGGTATTCAAGTTCCATAGACACCCAGGAACTTCAAACCCCACTGAATTACCATTAAACACACACACCAAAATGGTTAAAACGAAAAAGACAGTCAGTAAGTACTAAGTGTTGAGGAAGGAGGTACGGAGGTTTTCTCATACACTGCTGGTGGGAGTATAAATTGGTATATAACTACTTTGCAGAACTGTTTGGCAGTATCTGGTAAAAGTAAATATTATATGTTCATTCATACCCACCAATTCCACTCCTAAGTGTATCCCCAGCAGAAATGCATACATGTGTTTTCCACAAAGACACGTACTTTCATAGTTGTATTATGCATAACATACCCAAACAACTCAAAGGTCTATGAACAAAAAAAATGGATAAGTAAGTTATAGTATGTGCGTGTGCATACAATTCAACAATAGGAATGAATAATCTACATACAGCTCCAAGTAACAGTGTAAAGGACTGTCACCCCTATAACAATGAAAGAAACTATAAACTAAAGAGACCATACTTTATAATTGTTATTTATATAAAATTCAAATTCAGGCAAAATTAATTTGGGGAGGGGTAGTGACTAGAGGGGACATAAGTTAGTAAGAATCTCTTTTTCTTTTTCTTTTCTTTTTTTTAATCTAGAGTCCTCTGAAGAAGGGAATCTCTTTCTTGATATAAATTTCAGTTACATAATTGCATTCAACTTGTGAAAATTCGTTAAACTATACATTTCGGATTTATGTTCTTTTATATATGTCTGTTATATTACCCCCCACCAAATTATTTTGAGATGTGTTCATGTTGGGTCTTAGAGATCTAGTTATTCATTGCAACTGGCATGTGAACAGACCAGTTTATTGATTCCCTTACTGGACTTCTAGGTTGTTTCCAGTTTTCCTTGTTTCAAATAATGCTGTAGTCAATATATATATATATTTTTTTACATATCTTCTTAGAAGTGGCATTGCTGGGTTACAGGGTAGGCTCATCTTCAGCTTTACCAGATGATATCAAGTTTTTCTCCAAATGGTTGTATGTTTATGGGCCCCCCAGGAATGTTGGAGAGCTCCCACTGCTTTATGTTCTTGTCATCACTTGGTATTGTCAAACTTTTAAAATGTTTGCTAATTTTATGGTTGTGAAATGGTATCTCATCAGTATTTTAATTTGTATTATCTGATAATTAGTGTATTTGTACATCTTTCCACATGTTTATAGGCTATATGGATTTCTTCTTGGGTATTTTTATCTTTTGCCCATTTTTCTCTTTTGGGAATTATCTATTCATTTTTATTGCACATTTTTCTAATGGTTGGTTTTGTATTTTTCTTTTTGATTTGTGTGCACTTCACCTTGATTCTCAAAGTCCATATATTCAGGTAGACATCCCCCCTTTGTGATTTTAACACATTATTAGAATTTCAACTGTAAAAGTTAGATTTGGAAATAATTCAATCCTCCTAAGAATATTTTTGCTTCAGGTTTTTATCTTTTTTCTGTTTCTGTTTGCCTGCCATTACTCCTTATTTTACTAGTACATTTTAGCTATCGCAGACTTTTCTCCCTTCATTGGTTTTGAGAGATTGGTGGTGACTTGGGGAGGGGGAAATAAGAACTAGAAAAGTGAATAAAAATTTGCTGAAAGTTTATAAAATTGATAGAACTATATGTAAAATGCTTGGAAATATGCTTGTGACCCTTGTTGGTTTTTGTTTTTACTTGAAATACATTCTAGATTTAGCATTGTACAGCCAAAGGCCAATTATTTCATTTTACGTTGTCTGCATTGCAGACACTCATCATTACATGATTAGTTGTGTTTGTATGTGTTCTGTGCAGTGCCTATTATCCTATCCCCTGATTCTTGAGACAGTTCCACATAGTCTGTTATTCTTTGCGTTAACAGTTAAAACCCTCTTCAGCCATTGCCCCTGATACTTTGACATTTCTGTCATCTTAGAGAGAAAATGACTAAGCACATGGTACTTGTATTTCCCAAGTACAAAGATGGTTGGTTGGTCTGTAGAAAAGATGATGTAAACAGTACTTTCTCATTTATCTTCTAGGAGAGTGTGGTAATGTTCCTGAGCTGTTTACGGTTGTTAGAGAGCCTTTAAGGTTGGGGAACCTTCCTCAGAGAACGTCCTGGCCCAGATTTCTTCAGCATTCTTTCCCTGTTGCTTCTGCCTTCTGCCTTAAGATCAGTGCCAGAAAAAGAGCTCATGACTCCTGTCCACAGTCACAAAATCTTGGCTGATCTTGAAGGAATCATGTAGCGTATTCTCATGGCATGAATCTTTTGTAGAGAGATGCCAACGCAGCTTCACTAGGATTTCTCTTCCTAGAATAGAATTGGATTTCTTTTTTTAATGGTGTAAGTCAATGAAGAAACTTGAATTGTAAATCAGTGTAGAATGACTTCAACACCCATGAAGTTTAGAAGCCTTCTCTGTGTGAGATTTAGAAAGGCTGAACGCAATACAATTAGGTCTTGCTTTATGAAGAAATTATTATAAACTCTGACAATTAATTTAGATGTGATAATTTTACACTGTGTTCTATATTTTAAAAAACCACTCCAATATTTATAGAAATTAGTCCTGAACTGATTTTGGACTTTATTTTTAAAATTTCACAAGTGATAAGGATTTTTGTTTTCCTCAGCATTATACCATTATCACATTTAAATATTACTAATTCCAGTAACATATATTTCAAAATTTCCTATTATTTCAAAAGTCTTTGCTTTTATTTTGTCTCTTATTCTGTAACAGTTCCAACCCCTTCCCAGTCTCCTCCCTTTGCTTTTTCATGCCATTGATTTATTGGAGAAACCAGATCATTTGTCCTGTGTAATGTCCCACCTTCTGGATTTGACAGATTGCTCTTTTGTGGTGGTGGTGATGAACTTGGTCCTATACCCCCAGAATTCCCTGTAAACTAGTAGTTAGAACTGAAAGCTTGATTCAATTCAGATTCAACCTTTTCCTTTCTTTCTTTCTTCCTCTTTTTTTTTTTTTTGTTAGCAAGAATCCTTTATAGTTGATGTTGTGAACGTCTTGTTGCATGTCATATTTGGTTGTCTTCATTTAGTGATACTAAGATCAACATGTGGATTCTGTTCATATATGTTACTCTTGCTGGTACAGAGGGGCCCGTTAGAATCGCTTTAAAGTTTTTTAAGATTCTTAAGAATCTTAGAGGAGATTCTAATTTAGCAGGCCTGGGGAGAAACATCTGTTAAAAGACACGCATGCGCGCGCGCGCACGCGCGCGCACACACACACACACACACACACACACACACACACACACACACACAGAAAACCCCTACAAACCTCTCTACATTTACTCAGATATGGTAAGAATCATTGCCTTTAATACACGTAATACGTAACTAGAGTGACAAAATTTACTTTTATGCAAATGCTTTGGGAATGTTTGTCTTGTATAAAATGAAGCATATTTAAAATTGTTAAGAACTGGAGAGATGTTTGAAGCTGCTCTGTGTAATAGAAAAAGTACTTATTTGGACATAGGAGGCCAAATCATTTTTCTCTCTGAGACCTATTTATTTTTCTATATCCAGAACATAGGAATAATAACATTTAATCACAGGGTTGTTTTAATGATTAAATGAAATGATTTATTTGGAAGCCATCTAGTACCTGGTAGTTGAGTCTAAATCTGAAATACAATAATACAAATTTTTTTCAATTCATGTCTTCAGAGTAAAGTTTAAGAAAAATTAAAATAACATCTTGTGCTATTTTAGCTATATCTGAATAAACTTTTATATTTGAACTTATTTTTGGAGGGATAGGAGACTCAGTGCAGTTTTAATATAAGCGTAATTAAAGTAGCCTTTTCAAAAAAAATCTTACTGATTTTTCCCCTCCCCTACTTTTAGCTCCATTTACCTCTTAATTCTCCTTTGCCTGGAAGTGAATTGACCAAGGAACCTTTTCGCTGGGATCAGAGACTTTTTGCACTAGTGCTGCGGTTGCCTGGCACCATGTCAGTAGAATCAGAACAGTTGACAGGTGTGCCTTTAGATGACTCTGCGATCACACCAATGTGTGAAGTGACAGGCGGTAAGTGTTTTGTTGGCAATAATTCAGTGACTTAAAGCAGATGTAATCTGAATGTTTTAAAATGTACATTTCAAAAACTCCATGTTTGTTTTTATGTAACAAGTTAATATTAGGAATTAATAGATATGGTTTTAAAACTACATTTATTGATGAAGGTCTGTGATCTTGATTTGAACAGAATATGGTTACTCTTGGATATGATAATGGTAATTTTTTTCTGTAGAAAATGCTAGTATATGAAGTTGTTAAACTAATTTTTTTATCTGCAAAGATTATCAATGATGTAGAAATACCATAGTAATATTTTCTGTGAAAAATGTTTTGAGAATGATCTCATCATACATTTGATGGAATATGCTTTGGTTAAGTACAGTTTTTCCCAGAGGCAAGCATGTAGATTTATAGGTTAAAGGAAACAGGTAATGAGGTCTTATCTAGCTCATATTTCACTTATAAATCAAATCAGATAGCCACTATGCTGAGTGAACATTAATGAAAATCTTGGGATAATAATATGTAATAAACTCAGAACTTCTATAATGTGGAATTGGTTAACAGGTGTATTAATTTCATATAGATGTGTTTTGCATGTCTGTTGTGTACCAAGTATTGCTTCATGCTTTCGGCTTTCAGTAGTGAATAAAACAGACATGGTGTTTTTGCTTTCATGGAACACTGTAGTTCTCACCTAAGGAATTTGGTATTAAATTGAAATCCAAGTCTAGCATTCCACTATTTTCACGTGTGATAAGGGGTTGTGACATAGTCTCCAGACACAGTCAGTGGTGCTTTAATGAGAGTCCATCATAGCCTGCTGCATAAGTTAAGAGAAAATACAAGTCCTAATTAATATTTTAGGTGCCTTTCTTCCAAAATTCTGTGACTTTTGGAAATCTGCTAAATTCACAGAAAAAGGGATTGACTTACACAGGTATGTGAAGTAGATGAATTAGGAACTGTTATTCACATTATTAAATGTTTCCATTTTATAGGAAAATGCTTTTGTGAACTTTTGTAATGCCTTCACAATTTAATTTACAGAGGAAAAAAGGCATATGCATAATTCTTAAAGGACAACTTGTTTATCATCTAAATTTGGAGATTCACTGCTAACAATTGGATAATGTTTTTCAGTGACAGTCCTAATTGTTTCTGTGGGAGGATGCACATTTGTATTTATGAAATTTTAGTTTTCACCTTTGAACTGATCCACTTATTAAAATCCTGATTTTAATTTTTTTTTAACTCTAAGGTTTTTACTTAACAGATTGTGAAGGGCTTTGAAAGTTGAGGCTGTAATTTAAACATCTTCACATTGGAAAGTCCTTACTATGAATTACGTAGTTTGAACTTAGAATTATGATGAAGTTTTGGGACTCTGTGTACTATAACTTTTGTCTTCTAGGATCAGGAATATTGGGAGTATGAAATGAAGTGAGTGGTATAATCAGAGTTTGAAAAGAACCTTGAGACATCATGTAATAGTTAACTTATCCTTCCATTTGGACAGTAGTATACTAAAGCTATTTTGTTTATTCTTTGAAAGGAACATCTCCAGAGGAGAAGATTCTGCAGTCACCCTTGGTAACACCTTTCAATGACCCAAAAATCTTAGTCTAAGAAATTAGGAAGTCTTTCTTAAATATACATGCTGAATCCTTCCTGATGGAGCAGTTCATTTGCCCCTTTCCCTGCTCTTGCCAGTAATAATGGAAGGCTGCTCAAGTGCCACTCACCTTTTCATATCTCTGAATAATGTTTCCTTTGTAATTTAAAAGGAAGAATGTTTACTTAAAGTTTTGGAGAATAAAACACCAGAGAAGTAGAATGAACAAAAAAGCTAATTCCTATTGGTATTGCACTATCCAAATATGTAATCACTGCTAACAATTCCTGTGCATTTTAAAACTTAGTGTTAAGAGTTGTGTGTGTACATTTATTTTTCCCATTATAGAACAATTCATGTTCACTAAAGAAAAATTGGAAAAGTCACCTATATTGCCAAAATAGTATCCTGTTATATTTCTTTCTATGTATGCTTTTTAAAAGAATTGCATAATTATAGTCATTGTAGGATTTTTCTTTTGATACCAAGTATTTAATGAGTGCCCACTCTTTGCCAAATATCTGTTCTAGATGCTGGGACAATAGGCAGAAAGCTTATATCTTTGGACTGCGCAACGGATAATAATCATGTAAAATGAATAAATATTATTATTTTAGGGAGTGCTACCTACTATAAAGAAAAGACAATTAGGATAAGGGAGTAGAGAGTAATTTAAGACAGAGAATGAGTAGTCTAGGTAAGCTTTTTTCTGAGGAGGTAACATTTGAGCAGAGACCTGAATAATGGAGTTAATTGCATGAAATCCAGGCAGAGGAAATGGTAAGGGGAGCGACATGCACTGTATATTTGGAAGCAACAAGAAGGCTCATATGGCTGGAGCTAACAGAGGAGCAGAGAGTAACAGCTAGGTTTAGAGAGAGAAGCAGGAGCCAAATCTCAAATAGCCTTTTGGGCTACAATAAATATTTTTTATTTTCTAAGTGTGATGGGAAGCCTTTGGAGGGTCTTTTAGAGGGGTTGACATCTGATTTCTATTTCTAAAAGATTATTTCAACTGTTAGATGAGAATGTACTCTAGTGGCAAGAATGGAAGCAGGGAGATTAGTAAGAGATGATAATACTTTGGTCTAGAGTGCTAATTTTGGAGGTGGTTAGAGGTGGTCTGTTGCAAAGGAGAACCAAGGACAAGAGCAGTGAGGGAGAAAGGAATCTAGGATGGTTCCCAGATGATTCAGTTGAACCACAAGGATGCATGGCTGTGCCATGAACTGAGATGGGTACACAGGGGAGAAGCAGGTTTGGGGGAGGTGCAGGGATGATAGCAAATTAAAAAGTGTCTAATCAGACATGGTGAAAATATCAAGGATAAACAAAGCATTTTATAAAAATTTACAGACTTTTCTAGATTAAATACATTTAATTTTCTTACCTTCTTTAAGGATTGTTGTGCAACTTAGAAATAATCTTTTGCTTCTTCTGTTTTACTGAGATGCTAATACTACCTTCACACTCACTATATTTAGTTTGATTTTTTTCTTTTTTTCTTTTTTTTGCGGACTCTACATACCCAAAGTGAGACAGCTTCTTGCCTTGAAGGAGTTTGCTAATATAGTTTTTTTGCAATTATAATTAGTGATCCTAGAAACTTTATGCTTCAGCACGAAGTGTCATATATTCTAAGAAGTGAGTTTTGATATAGATAATAATTAAGTATAGAGAGGAACATTACATGGGATATAGGCTCACTTTATAAAGATCTCTTTAACTTTCAGAAGAATTAATGTATTTTTATTATTTGCCAAATGACTCATGTTTATTCACCTTTTCTCTAATTTCTGCAAAATATCTTTGTTAGTAATTTTATTTCATGTTGAGATTGTAACTGATTTGCTTGTATTTTCCTAATCAATTAATTGATTAGGAAAGTAGAGAATTGCCACAATTATGTGCTTTAAAATTTTTGTTTTTTAATGACAGCTTGGGAATGCTTAAATCTCATGAAATAAGATATTCAGCCGTTATATAAGCTTCTAAATACTTTGCATGTAAAGATGGTCAGCCTTTTTATGTATTGTTTCATGTGTATGCTTAAACTAAGAAAAAATTTAAATTTGCCAGTTCTTTCAAATAAGCATAATTCCATATGAATGCTCTGTTTTAAATATTGATTTCAAATGAACATGATTTTGGGGGGACAAAGTATACCCAGAATAGTTTCTAATACGCTGTAAGGGTTTGAATTGTGGCTGTACTACTGTACTAACTTGGAAAAGTTAGTTAACTTCTCTGTGCCTTAGTTTTCTCATTGGTAAAATGGGGAAAATAGCCCATACAATTGTTGCTAGGATTAAATGAATTAGTATGATAAAATGATTAGAATAGTGCCACACACATAGATATTCAGTAATTGGTAGGTAGGTATTTTTAAGATTATGATCATCATTATTATTTACAGGTAAGTTGTTTATTAAAAGATACTTGTTTTTCTAAGTAAAGCTGACTTTGAGGAGTTGAATCATTACTGCCTAATGTTCTTTTTTCTGAGTAGCCTTTAGCAAATCATGTTACATATAAGTTGATATGAGTAATTTGATGTGTCAAATATAATAATGTGGCTTGTGTTCTGAAATAATTGGTTGAATTTGTGAAAGAGTAGGACTTCATATTGAGCTTTTTACAAGTAACATTGTAAGATGTTTGGTTGAAAATTGAGTTTTAGCTGTCAAGGTTTTTAGCTTTGGTTGGGATCAGCACTTGTATTATAGAAATATTGAAATTCCATATGTAATTATAAATTTCATAGTAGCCACATTAAAAATAAAAAGAAACAGGTATGATTAATTTTAATAATAATGTTTTCTTTAAATCAATATATCCAAAATATTATTTCAATATGAAATTGATATTTTAAAATTACTAATGAGATATATTGTACATTTTTCCATGTCAAATCTACAAAATCAAGTGTATATTTTATGCTTACCATACATCTTCATTCAGACTAGCCGTATTTCAAGCTCTCAATAGCCATATATGGCTAGTGTCTACAATATTAGATGGCAAAGGTCTAGATATTTTTGTTGAAAATCCTGTTTAATAGACCTTTTCACTGATGATATCTTTTTAAAAAAATAATCACTAGTATTTTAATGCTTCTGAACTGAAAGTATTGTAGGTTAAAATATACAAAAGAGGAATTCATTTAAAATAGGTGATGAGTCTCAAGTATATAAGTCAAATGAAATTAGAAAAGCACATGCTACCATCTATATATTAAAATGCAAATATTTAACATATGTAAAAACTGCCAGCAGACCTGTTAAGTAATTATTAAATATCTGCTGTGTTCTTAGTGTAAATCTTAGAGATAGTACTTTTGTTAAGCAGGAATAAGATTTTGGGAAGACAACTACTAGATGTATGTGTGTGTGTTAAAGATATATTGGATAACAGAGATAGTGTTTTTTTATATCTATGTAATTTATATATGTATATGCGATTTTTTTTTCCATTGTGGTTTGTTCAGACCAAGAGTTCTGTGTTCCAAATACCTGTAATTAGAATGAAAAATGTATATATTCTCACAAAATGAGATTGTTGGTTGGAAATAACTATTTTTGTTCATTCTTCCATAAGATAATGAAAAAAGTCAATCTTTATCATTGAACTTTTGTTAATTAGTACTGTCAGAAACTCCACCATGGTTCTTTCTCACAGCTAACTAGTTTTTATTCTTTTTATTATTTTCTTTTCTTTTTTTAATCTCAGGCCGCTCATACTCTGTTTGTTCTCCAAGAATGCTTAATCAGTGTCTGGAGTCCTTGGTGCAGAAAGTACAAAGTGGGGTGGTAATAAACTTTGAAAAAGCAGGACCAGATCCTTCCCCTGTAGAAGGTATTATTGCACTTTTCTTAAAGACATTCTAAACTTGCTTTATCATTTACTCAGCTAAAATTGAAAAATTATTATGATTTTGGCTGAGATTGGCAAGGACAAATTATTAAGATGGCAAAACTGCTATTGGCAAAGAAGGAAGATTAAATAGGAAAGTCAAAGTAAATTGGTGGTAGTTCAATAACATTACCTTTTTATATTAATGATTGTTCATTACCTGAAATTTTAATAAGAGTCAAAAACCATTTTAAGTATTTATAGATAGGAAACCTTGTAATTCCCCTGTAGTATTATACCATTTTGTCTTTCTAGTATATGTTTCTCCCATGTCCCTTAATTCCCAGAGTGTTCAACCCTAGGTGTATTCCTTAGCTACTTTTGTTCTCAGGATCAAACTGATTGGAACCAAATGGTTTGTGTGGATCCAAATATGAGGAACCAGCTTTTGCCATTAATTAATCTCAAGCCTACCCTTACACACACCCCCCAACCCCAGCTGTATTCTCGGCTTCTGTGATCATGGACTATTTCCAATAGCCAGTGGGTATAAGATGTTATACTAGAACCAATGTTTATAGCTGTAACCCTCTGCATTGTATGTAACTTATTTCAAAATTTGGAGTCATCAATGACACTTGGCAGAGGTGATCCACTTGGAGTGAGTAATTGTGAGAAGAGAAAGGTCATAGAGATGAAAGAATGGGTACCATAGGGAAGGAGCAGATGATAAGACTAAGTGGTATAATGTCTGGTTTAAAAAACCAAACAAACTTAAAAAAAATTTTTTTAATTCAATTGGTAGACATGGAATGTATTTTTAAATTATTTTAATGCTTGGCTTAGAGTTAGACACTAAGTAAATGTTCACTGAATTATTGAAGACAGTTGCTATTTTGCTAAAATTATTTTAGATTAAAGGTAGGTGTTTGAATCTAGATTTTCATATTGAGTTTTTAATTAATTTTTTTATTTTTTTAGTTATTAGGCTTTAGTTAAAATGATTTCTAAGAAATAATTAGTAATACTTAACCTAGTATTTACTGTGTGCCTGGTACTGTTTTTAACACTGGAGGTACGATGATAAGGCAGCAATGTAATTGCCTTTATTATATAGTTGTGTAGTGGAGAAAACATGTCATTGTTAAACAAATGTTTACCGTAAAGTATGTTTTACATGTTCTGATTGGGAAAGCAAAGAATGCGGTGGGATCTCCTTTCAACTGAACTCATAGTTGGAATTTCTGGACTTTACTGTCTAATAAATTGTAATGTAGTCTCAATGTTAAGCAGTCATAGTATTCTGCCGTTTAAGAAAAATAGGAAAATCCAGAAATTAACAAGTATTAGGACATTTTTATTAACTTAAGTAATAATGGATATAATTTAACTTCTTATTTTTTTTTCCTTAGTGATATATGCTTTTTTTTTTGTCTTAATTTCTTTGCTATAGATGGGCAGCCAGATATATCAAGGCCTTTTGGATCTCAGCCTTGGCATAGCTGTCACAAACTCATATATGTAAGACCAAATCCTAAAACTGGGGTTCCTATAGGTCATTGGCCTGTTCCAGAATCTTTTTGGCCAGATCAAAATTCTCCAACACTAGTAAGTACCAGAGAGATTGTAACTATGTAATAAGTAACCTGGCTGTCTTTTATATTAGTTTTAAGTACTATTGTCAGTTAAAGGTGTGGCTAATTTTTATGGGAATTAGACAGGTGTTCAAAATGCTATGATAAGCTGTTACTTGCTTTAGTATACTGTATTGTTTATTATGAATAAATAGAAAAAAGTCATTTTCCTTTAGAATGTAATACAGTGCTTATGTTTTTTTATTCTCAACATCTAGGTTCAGAATCATATGTGTAGCAAAATTTCCTCTTTATACTCTAAACATGATATAGCATGAGGGTTTGTCTCTGGGACTCAATTTAGATTTAAATGAAGGTTTAGGTAATAATTCTGATAGTTTGCCTACAGTCTCTTAGAATGTAGTTTTAGAAATTCATGTTGACTTGAATGGTTTTAGTCATATTCAGTGTTACAGACTGGAGGTTTAAGCTAGAAAATATTTTCTGGTTTTGTTTACATGAATTTTTAGGAACAGTGAAACTTGAATGATCATGGTGAATTATCAGTATTCATTATGAGTCTTAAAAGGGTAAAATTGTACAAATAACTATTCAGTCTTGTTAGTGCACTGTTTTTTTCAGATTAATTTTTTTTGCCTAGTGTCTGAGGACATTAAGAAATATTTTATGGGAGAGCAGGATAGTGGTTCTCTCTGATATTAACCCTTAGAAGATAAGAAGTGTATTTCAAAGATCGTTAAGCAGTCTTTAATAATGTTTCATGCAACTGTCATTTATAAATTAAACTGAACCTTTCTTGAAACCTTTTGTCCTTTAAATCTGTGTCAACTTTTCAGGATAATTTTTACTTTGAGTCTATACGGGATCTATAAAGTGTTATTTCCTTTATTCATTAGGGATTTAATGTAGTAGTGTATGAAATTAAAGTTTTATAAATTTTATTGAGGCATCTTCTTTATAACTTTGTTTTTTTCTGATTCAACCATCATATTTTTTTAGTCCGGCCTCATAGAGAAACTTTTTACCAATTTCTTTGGTAATTTTACTTTCTATTCTAGAGCTTTCTTGACTCTTACAGAACAGATACTGTATTTTGTATGATACGTTGTCATGTTGCTTATTCGTTCTATTGTATTTATTTAACATCTACTCCAGTTATATGTAGTGCTTAAGTCCTAATGGAAAGAAATCTAAAGCCAATATCACAAGCCTTAACTATTACTGTTGCTTTATTGGTCTATTGTAAATTGTTGCAAGCCATAGAGGGTGGGTAGGACTTCAATTGGAGGAGGAAATAGTAGGAGAAAAAAGTTTGAAAGTGAAAAAGAACAAAATGTGTTTAGAGGAGTAACAAGTAGCTGAGTATGGGTGGATCATACCATATGTGGGACACCAAGAATGCTTTTAAAGAAATCAAATTGCTTATAACTTTAAATGCAAGGTTAAGGAATATGAGCTTTTTTCCAGTGGAGTTCAAGGAACAATTGAAAATGTTTTTAACAGAGTGCTACTTTAGAAAAATTGATTTGGTGGTGGTTATATGCAGTAAATTAGATGGAGATGAGTTGGAAGGGCAGGTAGGTTACCTGGAGGGCTATTGATATGGCTCACATAAGAGATATTAAGAGTTTGAATTAAAATGATGGAAGAGGAATCATAAGAAAGAGATAATATTGGAAAGAACTGGCAAAATTTAGTAACTGAAGGCTATTAGAGGGGAAATGAAATTTTTATAAATTATAATAGTATTTCAAACAAGAAGTATTGCTACTGAAATGAAATGTGATTTATTAGAGACCGATGGTGAATTTTATCATAGCTCTACCAGTTATTAGCTGTGTGCCTTTGGTTAATTATCTTCTCTAAGCTTCAGTTTCCCATTTTTTAAATGCAGATAATAGCTCCTATTTCATAGGATTGTTTTGGGGATGAAACAAAATAATTCTATGCAAAATTTTCTTTCCAAGTTCTAGAGATATTTCCCTCCACTTTTCTTCTTGGATTTCAATACTTTTATCCAAAAAATAAGTGCATTTCATGGACTGATTTAATAAGCTATGTGGTCAGGTGTATGCTAGGCACAGGAGCACAAGATGAGAAAAACAGTGCTTACCCTCTTGAATGTCAGATATGCACACATCATAGAGTACAGTGTGCCAACTGTAATAGAGGTTGGGTGGAGCAGAGCCAACAGAGGTGGGGCCTAAATTCCCTGGTGTATGTTTGGGGTACAGGGTGGGGAGGGGATGTCAGGGAAGAAGTCTCTTGGAGGTTGATACCTGCCAACTCATTCTTTAAAACTTAATTTGTTTGCAACATGCAAGGGAGAAAATAATAAAGCAGTCAGGGTTGACATGTGAAACAGGCATGAAAAATGATGACCTATTGGGGCAATTGTAAGTAGTTGGTGTAGTTAGAGCATAGGGTCTATAAGGCGTGGTGGTGGAAAGGCAGATCTTTGTATGTGATACTAAGGGTCTGGGCCCTATTTTTAGGTGATTGGCTACTACTAGTACCAAATAGTGTTAGATAGGGAAATTATATGATGATATTTCTGTTTCACAGCCATAGGACTGATTGGAGAAGGATTCCCTAGTTAGGGAAAATAATTAAAAAGCAGTTGTACTAGTCTAATATGAGAAATGATAATGGCCTGAATTAAAGTGGTAAGAAATAAAAGATACATTTCTAGAGAGATGAGAATTTAGTGTTGACATAAGGCAGCAACTAGTACAGAGTACCTGCCATGTTTATGTGTTCTGGTAAGTGCCTTAGAATTTGTGGTATCATTTTAGCTAGGTCTTTGTGACATTTAAACATGGAGGATGAGGGGGAGATATTAAGGATAACACCTTGGTTTTTAAAACAGGTATTGTGGTTTGGGGGAGAAATAACAAATTGGACATAATGTATCTGAGGGACCTGTGGAAGATTACAGTTATGTTTAGTAGATAGTTGGATACATAAGGGAAATGAGAAAAATCTGGTTCTAACGCAGTAGATTTGGGAGCCACCAGGGTATAAATAGTAAGTGGGGCCAATAGAGTCCTTTATAGCTATGAAATTTCAAATTATTTCCTCATAGCTCATATCTTGTTCACAATTAGTGAGATTTTAGGAAGGGAGACTGCTAAGGGGCAAATAGAGGAGTAATATACCTTTTTTTAAAAAAAGTATTAAGTTTTTTATACCTCTAGAACAGGGATCTCCAAAGCAGGATGTATATACCGCAGGGATTACCAAAACAATTGCTGGAATAGGGAAGGAAACATTAGAACTTCTGTTTGTTTATTTTTCCATTTTAATATTATTTTGGTACATATTTTAATTATATATGTAATATTATAAATAATCTAGAAATATATATTCTAATGTATATTCAAAACTGATCAAGGTATATGATTAGTTTGGAGGTCACTACTCTGTTTAAGTAATTAAATTGCTACAAATGAAGACTTATGGAAGTTTCTATACATTTCTTGTTTCTTAGTTGTAAAAATTAATGAATACTCATTTGATTCCAAAATTTTGCATTTAAATTCTGATAAATTTGATATTAAGACCTAAAAAGATTTCATTTTGTATAGATTTTGAAGTGTTTGTCTTTTTCTTGTGAATGTTATATAATTGAGGCATTGCATTTTTGAGTATTTTCTTTCAGCTTAGTGGTGCTTTTAGCAGTAAATCAAACTTTACTAGCAAAACTGAGGAACTGAGTAAATTTTGATAGTGAGGGATACTTAAAAGTGAATGCTTCTGGCATTTTGTGTAAGTAGTAATAATAAGGCTTTTTCCTCTAGCCACCTCGTACATCTCATCCTGTAGTGAAGTTTTCCTGTACAGACTGTGAACCAATGGTTATTGACAAACTTCCTTTTGACAAATATGAGTTGGAACCTTCACCACTGACTCAATTTATCCTGGAAAGGAAATCTCCTCAAACATGTTGGCAGGTGAGCTGAACAACAATAGTGATTTAAAAATTTAAGTGAGGTATTTCTTAAAATGCTAAATTGAACCAATGGTTTATATAACATTCTTTAAAGGTTGCTAAATATAAAGCTTTAACCACTCCTTCTTTAACAGGTATATGTGAGCAATAGTGCAAAATATAGTGAACTTGGTCATCCTTTTGGTTACTTGAAAGCCAGTACAGCACTGAACTGTGTCAATTTATTTGTGATGCCTTACAATTATCCAGTCCTTCTTCCCCTCTTAGGTAAGTTGTTCTTGTCACATTCTCTGTGACTCAGCATATATAAAAATTCTCCTAAACACAAGTGTTGGGAACATTTCTTCATCATTTTTCTTCTGGAAATTAAGGAAAATATTTTGAATATTCTGAAATGTTAAACCTACTAAAGAAATAATTATAACAACCTGTTCATGTTTGTGGTGAATTGAACATTGGTATTGAAACGCCTTTTAGTCTCCAGATTAATAATGTTATTATATTTTAAATTTTAAAATTAAATACTCTAAATTTTCTGCAAGTTAGATTTCTAACAGTCTTAGAATCGATAATGTAGGCTTTCTGTTTGGTATATATGGCATTTTGTAGTCACAAGATCTGAGTGCATTTTCTAAGAATTTGTAATTTTCATTTGGCAATTTTTTTTAAATGAAGAAATTTGTCCCAGAGTAATATGATAAAAGCCTAAAGTTAAAAGTTATGGTCAAAATATTAGTAGATATATTTTATAGAAAACATGCATACTTTGTTTCTTTCCTCAAATGTGTTTTATGTCTGGGTCTCAGCAGGGCATAGATTTTCCTTATGCATTTTCTGATTCTGCCTTCATTGTTACATGTAATTTTGACCGTAATTGGCACCTTTTTATTTTTGAAATGGTATTACAAATAGAAAATGCCAGAGCAGAAATTTTACTACCTTTAATTTTGTTAAAAACTTATGTTTGGCCGGGCACAGTGGCTCATGCCTGTAATCTCAGCACTTTGGGAGACTGAGGCAGGAAGATCGCTTGAGGCCAGGAGTTTGAGACCAGCCTGAGCAAGAGCCAGATCCCCTCTCTACAGAAAATAGAAAAATTAGCTGGATATGGTGGCATGCACCTATAGTCCCAGGTACTCCAGAGACTGAGGCAGGACAGTTGCTTGACCCCAGGAGTTTGAGGTTGAAGTGAGCTGTGATTCTAGCCTGGGCGACAGAGCGAAGACTCTGTCTCAAAAAAAAAAAAAAAAAAAAAGTCTTATGTCTTTTGTTATTGCTCACACATAACAAAGCAAACTTTAAAAAAGGAAACTTCTTTGACTTGATTTATGTGTAAAAACAATGAGTGATGATAGTTCATTTGTATTATACATTTCTAGATGACCTGTTTAAAGTCCATAAAGCAAAACCAACATTGAAATGGAGACAGTCATTTGAAAGTTATTTGAAGACAATGCCTCCCTACTATCTCGGGGTAAGAATGTTATTGTTAAAAATAGAACTTGTTATAAAATTTTTTATTAGGCTTATAGTTTATTATAGGTATTGTAAACATTTATTGCTGGTATAGATTATGTGGCATGAAAATTGAGTGTACAAATGACCAATGACAGATGTAATGGTAAAGATAGGTTTCAGTGATTTGGAGAAACGATGGTGGTGATCATGAGAACATTTATATATTGCTTATTCTAGGCCAGGTACTGTCCTAAGCACTTTATATGTATTAACATTTAATTCATATAGTTACCCTGTGAGGTAGAAATGATATTGTTACTGTTTAATAGATGAAAAAACTAAGGTACTAAAAGATTAAGTAACGTGTCCAAGGCTACATAGCTAATACATGATAGTTATGAGGGGGACTGGAATTCAGTCTGGCTTTAAGAATTTAGGCTTTTAACCTTGACTGTTGTACTACCTTTTCAAATGGCAGTTTTGTGATTACAGTCATCCCTCAGTATCTGTGAGGGACTGGTTCCAGGACCCCCCGTGGATGCCAGAATCCATGGATGCTCAAGTCCGTTATATAAAATGGCATAATATTTGCACATAACTTATGCACATCCTCCTGTACACTTTGAATCAGTTTCAGATTACTTATTAGATCTAATACAGTGTAAATGCTATGTGTAAATAGTTGTTACACTGTATTGTTTAGGGAATAATGTCAAGGAAAAACGGTTTATACATGTTCAGTACAGATCCAACAATCTGTTTTTATTTTTGCCAAATATTTTTGATCTGTAGTTGGTTGAATTCATGAAATGTGAAATCCACGGACACAGAGGGTTGACTATGTTTCTTTTTAAGGCTGCAAAATGGTTTTTGTTGTATTATTTCTCAAATCTCCAGAAATACCTTTTTAGGTAGATAAATGTATATTTTCATAGAACCACATATGCTTTTAGCAAACTTGATTACTTTAAAACTAGTATATCACAGTGGGTAAGACCAATAACATGTATTTTATTAAATAATTTATTTTGTTTGAAAAATAACTTTTTAACAAGAAGACCTAAACTAAAACCACCTTTACATATTACTTCTACTATTGATACACTATTATTACAACACTTGGCTATAACTAATCTTTCTAAATGGTCACTAATATGATTAGAGGATCAATTTCCTGAGCTTTGAAAATCATGACATTTTATAATTATAAGAGATAAGTTGTACTGAATGTGTAGCACACAGTGCCTGCCATGTAAAAGGGTGAAAAGAAAAAAACATACTTTGAATAGGAATTGTTACATATGTTGACTCATTTATGTTTCATAGCAACCCCGAGGACTTAGCCAAAAGTAGATAGGTATTTAAATATCAGAGCTGGGATTTGATTCCAGTTTGACATCAGTGCTCATACACATTTTCTAATGTCAGTGGTTATCATCCTTTTTCTGGTTCTGTCCCATTTGCATATGCTAGACACTCCTTCTAGTGATACTTTTCATTGCACAAAGTGGTTCTCAATCTCTCCTTAAAATTTAAAGGTCTTTTTTTTTTTTTACTATACCACATCTATAATAAATATTAGACTGTATTTTCCTCCTGCTTATGTTTTCTTTGTTTGATTTTCAGCTCAGCCTATTATCATAGTAGTTGAAATCTTGTATTTTCTTTGAGTCCTTTTTACTTACTACCTAAATTTTATCAGATCTACCACAATGTGTCTCCTGTTCATTTCTTCCAAACTTAGTATTTTCCAGCGGTACTAAGGAATCCACCACTTCACCCTCTTGCTCTAGGAATTATTATTACAGCCTCCAATCCTGTTTAGCTATTTCAAACTGCTTTTCATGCCACTGACAAACATTTTATTGAAATATAATTATGATTATATTATTTCCTTATTGAAGAAAAGAAGGAGAAATAATATTTTAGGAAAAAATTTTAAAACAAACTCTATACATGGAACCATACATTTTTAACAAGCTTAATATTGAATGATGTTTCCTTTTTTCCCAATAGCCCTTGAAGAAAGCTGTTAGAATGATGGGAGCACCTAACCTAATAGCAGACAGTATGGAATATGGACTTAGTTACAGTGTCATTTCATACCTCAAAAAACTGAGTCAACAGGTAATGTCCAGAAGTAGAGTGAGCCAGCAAGTATTTTGAGTGATGGTGGTTAAGATGCTTAACAAGCTAGAAGCTAGTTCTTGGTGGTTCTAATGGAATTCCGTTATATTAATGTATTAACACTTTAAAGCCATTTATATCATATTAACATAATTCTGTCTTGAGTCCATGGTTGTACTGTGTTTTAAATCTTAATTTTAAAGTTTTATAATCATTCCTGATTTATGAAAATGGCTTTGTTTAATGTGCCCCTAGACTTCATTATTTATGTTACTTTTTGAGAAATTTACATATAAAATTCAGGTATAAAATTTTTTTACAAAAAAAAAATCAGTTGTTTTTGCTTTATGTTTTAAAACAAGATTTTTCTTGCAAAATGGGAGGGTTTTTTTATTTTCCTTTTTCTTTTTTATTTTAAGATAAAGGCAACTCTTCTGGATAAAATGGGAGTTCTTTTGAAATGTTTGTAAAAGTACTGAATTTTGTCCTTCTGGCCATATATCACATTTATAAATAGTATGGTATTGTCAAGCAGTATACAATTTAACTGATTGCCAAATTATTACTGCCTTATGAAATATATTATTTTTCCAGTACCTCTGACATCTCTAACTACTAATCAGGATGCACTTTGGGAGGAGTCAAAATACTGCTATTTGCTTTCTAGTGAAGAAACTGTATCATTTGCCGTATCTATGAACATTTAGTTAAGTGCTAATAACAATGTTTTTAAGTAAAAACTGATGATTGTTTTTTTCTAACTTTTAGTCACCTGAATTGGGAATATACATATTCATTTAGGGTACATTTATATTTCATGGTTTAAGTGTAATGGATATTAATAAATAACAGTTGAAATTGTCCTGCCTCAAAAACTTAGTTGTAATGATTTAATATCATAAGACTTTATTGTTTAAACTATGTTTAGTTTACCCAATACTTGACATAAACTATGCTAATTGTTTTTAATTTCTTACATACTTTTAAAAATATAATATTTAATTTATAGAAGACCATAACCATTAGTATCTGATTTATCAATTTAGATTATATCAAGATAATTTTTGTTTATTTTTACTTTAGGCCAAAATAGAATCTGATCGAGTCATCGGTTCTGTAGGCAAAAAAGTAGTACAGGAAACAGGAATTAAAGTCCGAAGCCGATCACATGGTTTATCAATGGCATATAGGAAAGATTTTCAACAACTGCTCCAGGGAATTTCAGAGGATGTCCCTCACAGACTGCTAGACCTTAATATGAAGGAATACACCGGGTTCCAAGTTGCTTTGCTGAATAAGGTAATAGTAATAGGAATTTAGTACTACTATAGTTATGTTCTGTTGTATTGTTGAATAAATCAAATTTTTTATTAACTGACATTGTCCAAACTTTAAAAAGTGCTTCTAATACCACCACAGAATGATCATTATACTATTGTTGAATCATCAGATTTTAGAATTAAAACAAACTTTGTACATGGCATGTGAATGAATGGATGGATTGATGAAGAATGAACTAACTATTCATTTTATAGATGAGAAAACAGAGACTTAGAGATTGCCTAAAGATACATAGCTGATGGTAGAATTCACTGTAGTTTGGTACTTTATACTGATGACCTTAGGCCCACAGCATGATCCTAAAATGCAAATATCTTCATCCCAGCAGTCTTTTTGTAGAAATAGGCAAGCTGATTCTGAAATTTATATGGAAATGTAAAGATCCTAGAATAGCTAAACCAATTTTGGAAAAGAAGAATAAAGTTGGAGGACTTATATCATCTGATTTTAAATGAATGGAATTGAATCTAGATGTAGGTCCTCACACATATCAATTAATTTTTAATAAAGTTGCTAAAATAAATGGTGCTAGAACAATTGGATATCCATATGCAAAATAATGAATTTGATCCTTTAACTCACATTACTTGAAGTGGTCATAGTCTTAAATGTTAAGAACTAGAACTATAAACTTCTAGAAGAAAATGTTGGAGAAAATCCTTGTTGGGTTAGCAAAGATTTCTAAAATACAACACACAAGCACAAAACAAAAGATGTCCATCCATATGTTGAACATCATTAAAGTTAAAAAAAATTTTTGTTCTTTAAAAGAAACTTTATTTTTTAAACAGGCAAGATACAGCTTGGGAGAAAATCATATATTGAATAAAGGACTTGTATCAAAACATATATAAAGAGCTCATACAACTCAATAATAAAAAGACAAACATCCCAATAAAAATGGGCAAAATATTTGAACAGATGCTTGACAAAAGAAAATACACAAATGCCCATAGGAATATGAAGAAATGCTCAGTCTTATCAGTCATTAGGGAAATGCAAATTAAAACCATAATGAGATACCACTGTGTAACTGCTAGAATGGCTAAAATTTAAAAGCCTGAAAAATACTAGGTGTTGATGAGGATGTGGAGCAACTGGAACTGTCATACGTTACTGACAGAAAATAGTTTTTATTTTCTTAAGAAGTTAAACATATATTTTCTTACAACCAGCAATTCTATTTGTAGGTATCTACCCAAGAGAAATGAAAATACATGTCTATATAAAGGCTTAGTATACAAATGTTCATAGCAGCATTTTCATAAAATAGACAAAAAACTGGAAACAATCCAAGTGTCCATCAACTGGTATAACAAATATGATATGACTATATAATGGAATACGACTCTGGAATAAAAAGGAACAAACTACGGATACAAAAACAATATGAATGAATCCCAAAAACATGCTCAGTGAAAGAAGTCATACAAAAAAATCAGATAGTGCAAAATCACATTTATAAAATGGAATTTAGAAAGAAAGCAGATCCAGAGGTTGCCCAAGAATAGGAATAGTGATTGACTACAAATGGGTACAAGGAACTTTTTGGGATGGTGGAAGTGTTTTGTTTTGTTTTTTAAATAGAGATGGTGGGGTGGGGGTCATGCTATGTTGCCCAGCTGGTCTTCAACTCCTTGACTCAAGCAATCTGCCTTGGCCTTTCAAAGTGCTGGGATTACAGGCATGAGTCACCATACCCAGCCCTTTGGATGGTGGAAGAGTTCTAAAACTGGATTGTAGTTATGGTTTCACAACTATTCCTTTACTAACATTCATCAAACTGTATACTTAAAATAGGTGATTTTATGGTATGTAAATTATATATTAAAGCTGTTTTTTGAAAATCTTCAGTTTTTAAAATTTGGAAATTTGCTGTTACTTAAATTAGTTTACTTCTGTTATCCAGAATATTTAATAAAATCTTTAGAGTTAGATGTGAATTTGAGATTGTTCAGTTGAACTCACTGTCAAATTTCCATCTTTTGGCCATAGAACTGTACATTAAGATGGTATCATATGTCTTTATTTTATTTTGTAAAGCTAACTACTTAAACATCTTATTTCCAAATAAATATTGCAGGGTAAAGATTTTAGTCTCTTTTAATTCTATGTTTGACAGTAATTTTTGTCCTTTAATGTTTTTCAATAGGATTTGAAGCCACAGACATTTAGAAATGCTTATGACATACCAAGACAAAACCTTTTGGATCACTTAACAAGAATGAGATCTAATCTTTTGAAGAGCACCCGCAGGTTTCTTAAAGGACAGGATGAAGGTTAGATCATGGTTTTAATATTGGTATTTTTAATATTTTTTTTCTTTATAGTCTGAAAAAGCATAGTAAGGTAATGTAAATTTTGAAGAATTATTACAATAGCGTTTATATTCTCATTGTGAATTCAAACAGATGAATTAAAAGGTTAGTCATCCCTGATTGTCTACCTTCCTTCCTACTGTCTTTGTTGCCGCAAATTTTCTTCCCCAGAGGTAACAGTCTTTGCTATAGTTTAGTTTTCTTTTCAGCTTTTTTCATGCATTTGTGCACACAGATATCCCCCTACACACACACACACACACACACACACACACACACACACACACACACACACACACACACACACACACACACACACACACACACACACACACAACCCCCCCCGCTTCATTTTCTTGAGATAAACTAGTATCTGATGGTTCAATGCTGGATGACCAGTTACATGGCATGTTCTGATATTTCCCTCGGCTGTATCCATGGCACCTACCATAAATCAAGTCAGGCGAGGCTTCAACCTTTGCCGTCTCTGATTTAAGCATTGTAACAATAACTTTATATAAAAAGGGTTATCTGTGTGACTCCTCTTTTCTGCTCTTCTATACTTCTGTTTTCTGCAAATTCTACTATAATTAAATTCTGTTAATTTGGAATAGAGTAGAAGAGATAAACCTTTTCATGGTAAAATCACACATTATTCTGTGTACTGAAATTAAGTGCAGTATTTTTGTCTTGTTTAGAAGATGAAATAAATATTTTAAATTTTATTTTAAAAGTCTGAAAAACTATGCCATAGTATTTATAATTGCACCAAACTAATTTAGACTATGTGGTAAGGGAGGACTCTCTTGAGTAACACTAGGTAGCATTCATATTTAAGAAGACATTATTTAGTAATGAAATGGAGTATACTTTTAGTGAGGTTAACTTTTGTTGTTGTATTCTGTTTGCAAGATCAAGTACATAGTGTTCCTATAGCACAAATGGGGAATTACCAGGAATACCTCAAGCAAGTACCTTCTCCACTAAGAGAACTTGATCCTGATCAGCCTCGAAGATTGCATACGTTTGGAAACCCCTTTAAGCTGGATAAAAAGGTAATTTTGAAATGTTCTATGATATAATTTGTTTGTCAGACACTGTCAATTTAACAGTTAACTCTGAAGTAAGCCGAAGCTATTTTCCTGGTAGAGTATCTAATAAATGTCAACATAGTTGGAAGATAGTTGTTTTAATTGGAATTGGGATTGGTTGTGCCATTTAAACATTATATGTAAATCTAAGAAAATTATATTCTTTTTTTTGTTATAGGGTATGATGATAGATGAAGCAGATGAATTCGTAGCTGGACCTCAGAATAAACATAAACGACCTGGAGAACCAAATATGCAAGGGATCCCTAAAAGACGTCGGTGTATGTCTCCACTACTAAGAGGCAGACAGCAGAATCCTGTTGTGAACAATCATATTGGGGGAAAAGGACCACCTGCACCTATGGCTCAAGCACAGCCGGATCTTATTAAATCCTTTCCTCTTCATAAAAGTAAGTTATTTTGTTTGTTTTAAATATTATTTGCTGCTTTTTGGTTCCTTTTCAGAGAAGACATATTTTTGTCATAGATTATAGAAAAAAACTATCAGTGGAGTCTGATGAGTGTTTACAGAAGCTATTTGTTTATTCTAAAATGGCATGTAATCATTTTTGTATCTTTTTAATGAACATTTGTTGAACATTTCATATATTTATGATGCTTTATTAACTATTATGCTCTAAAATATCATTTGTAAATCTTAAGTATTTCCAAGTAATAGTTTTGAAAGGGCCGTTATTACTACACACAGAAAGATGATTTTCAACTTCATTTTAATTCAGGGGTGGGGAACCTGCGGCCTTGGGGGCCACATGTGGCCTCGTGGATCCTTGAGTGCTGCCTTTTGACTGAATCCAAATTTTAGTTTTGGATTCATTTGAGGGGCTGCACTTGGGGATCTGGAGGGCTACATGTGGCCTTGAGGCTGCAGGCTTTAATTCAACAACTAATTATTAAATACACATGCTATTTGGGACAATGCTAGGTTTTGGGGTCTAGCACTGAAGAAGATAGTAGTGATCTCTGACCTCATTTATAATCAGCAAGGAAAGAAAGTCATTGAACAGATAATTATAAGTATGATGAATGTTACAAAAGAGAAATGAAATATATTGCAGAAGCATTTGGCAAGAGGATTTAACATAGTCTGTGAGGTCAAGGCACTTTACTGAAGGAGTTGTGTTTGAGGCAAAAGCTGTGCGTTTGCCTGTGCTAGAGCAGTAGCCTAAAAGGAGTATGTGTATAAGTAGGTATGAAGGTATATAGAGGTACAAAGTAAAGAGAAGGACATTGAGGGAACAGAAAGAATTCCAGTAAAGCAAGGGTGTTGGGCATGAGGTAAGGCAAGAACTGAAAGGTGGAAGCCAGATCATGGAGGGCCTTGAAGGTTATTGTAAATATTCTCAACTTTATTCTAAGGACAGTGAGCGTGGTTTTTAAAAGATGATGTCCTGATCTGATTAGCTGCTTTTTTTTTGAGATAGGGTCTCACTGTGTTGCCTAGGCTGGAGTGCAGGGGCACAATTCACAGCTCACTGCAGCCTTGAATTCCTGGACTCAAGTGATCCTCCCACTTCAGCCTCCCCAGTAGCTGCGACTACGCCCCTGGACCTGATTAGCATTTCATAAAGACCAGGCTGACTGTAATGTGTGGAATAATATTATCAGGAAGGAGGAGAAATGAATGTAGGGAACCCCTAATGAATTAATGAACTTATCAGTTATAGTGATCATACGTAGCTTATAGCATCTTAACTGCAGAAAAACCAAATAGTATACACTCCTGATGGAAGTATACAATACTACCTCTGAAGTAGTCTTGACCAAAAAAGCCCCAACTGAACACGAAAGTGATCAATCCAATTTATAGGGAATACAGGGGATAGAGAAACATGTTAAATGACAAAACAGATACAATTAGCAAAATTCAGACTATAGAAAACTCAGCAGGACAAAGAATCTATTGGGTTTTTTCCTCCAGGGGGAAAAAAACGCCTAGTAAGAAGAGAGATACAGAAGGATTTTTCAAAGGTAGTTAAACCAATTGCAACATACAGGCCTTAATTGACCCAGAATCAAACAAAATCAAACTTTTCCACCAACAGAAAATGTATAAGGTAATTGGAGAATATGGATACTGACTAGATATTTGATGTTATTAAATAATTATTGTACATGCACAAGGACCAGTTAGGAAGAAACCCAGGGAAAAGATACTGGTGACCTGGCTATGGGATTGTGAGAAGACTTTGTATTTGAGAAATACTTGGACATAATCAGCAAAGGACTTGGTGACTGGGTGTTGGGGCCATGGCAAGGGAAGAGTAAGGCTTCCGTCCTGAGAGACACAGGGTGGGGTCAAAGAAGAGACGATAAATAAGTTGAGTTTAGAATTACATATTAGGTAGTCAAGTAGAGATCCTAAGTTAGAAGGTGAGTGTTGAGTTTGGGACTCAGGAAAAGAGGACTGGGCCAGAGGGGAAGGTATGAGAGGCAGCTAACTGCCCATTGGAGTGAATAAAATCTCACCAAGGGAAATTGTGAGAAGGAAAAAAGTCCAGAACCAGAACCTCGAAAGTGCCAAAGTTAAGAGGAGAAAGCAGACAAGGAGATTGAGAAGGAGGAATCCTAGAAGTAGGAGAAAATAGGGAAGAATTTAATGTCGTAGAAGCTAAAGTGAAAGATAATTGAGTGGGTAGTGGTCTCAGATACGTAAACAGCTGAATTAAGAGGAATGGAAAGATTCAGTTGGTCTTTGGCTATCTTAGCAAGAGCAATTTCTGGAGTAAAAGGGACAGAAGCCTAAAAAGGCATTAAAGGGAGGAGGAGTGAGGGGGGGCAAATCTACAACTAAAGGACACAGGGAGCACTAAAGGGAGGGAAGGGCATGCCTTTAACCGCATTTGGGTGAGGCAAAAACATAAAGTGTAACTATAATGTTTGTACCCTCACAATACCCTGGAATAATGAAAAAAAAAAAAGGGAGGAGGAGTGAGAAGTGAGAAAATGGAGACAGTGAGTGTAAACAACCAGTTTAAGGAGTTTAGCTGTAAAAGGAAGGTGGGAAAAGAGAGTGGTAGCCAGAGGAGTTCACAGGGTTGGAGATGGTGATTTTTGCTTTGTTTTTAAAATCAAAGACACTTGAGTGAGTTTAAATGCTGGTGATAGAACCAGTAGAGAGGAAGAGTTTGAAAATGAGAATGAGAGAAGGCACAATTGGCACAAAATCAGTGGAAGGCGTGAGGGAATGGTCCAGAGCACAGATGAAAGAATGCTGCCTCTAATGAAGCAGAACGAGTGGGGGGGTCCAGTTTAGTCGGGGAAGAAGTAGAGGAAATTCCTGGCCCACAGCTTTGCTTTTCTTTCCTCTGTGAAGCAGGAGGTGATGTATACTGCTGCGAGGGAAGGGGAGATTGGGAAAGTTGGAGGTTTACATAATCTTTGTGGGAAAGGGAGGAAAGGTGGTGATTGTAAGACAGTGCAGAGAGTCCAAGTAGAGGTGGTGGTTGTGACCACTCTGTAGGGCTGGGCCCTATTTCTCCAGCAGTGCTCATCATTTCAAATACAGCTCTGGAGGAGGCAGATAGAGTGAGTCATCAAATCTGGGGTTTTGCCTGGCAGGTGTCATGGGAAGACAATAGAATAAGAGAAATTAGGACATGGGTAAAAAGTGATATATCCTGGGCTATAATCCTGATACATAAGAAAGTGGCTATCCAGAAGGGATCTGATTAATAGGAGGGGGAAAATAGAGGAAGTGCTGGAGGAAAAGTCTGGCTGAGTTAGAGAGCAGTAGCAGGAGTACTGCAAAGATGTGGATTACACTCCCCCATTCCTGAGTTTGTGGTGGATGTGGGAGGCAGAAGTGTAAGTGGAAAGTTCTTTGGAGATAAGTTGTGGAATGGGGTTCTTGACAGGTGATCTGTTTGAGTCACCACAGCACTTCTCAAACTTGAATGTGCATGTGAATCACCTTGGGTTCTAGTTAAATTACAGATTCTCATTCATTCTCTCTGGGCTGGGCCTTAAGGAGGAGCATTTCTAGCAGGCTCTCTGATGGTGCTAAAGCTGCTTGTCCCCAGACTATGCTTTGAGTAATAAGGACCAAGAATGAAGTCAGGAGGGACTTGAAGGGGGAAGGAAGGCCGTGAACTGGGTGCCAGAGATGTCAGTGACTTAGAGACACATGCCCTGGCATTCAGTATAAAATAGTGATGAGGAGAGAGTGTGAGTGGCACAGTGGAGTCTTAAAAGAGCACGAGTTTTACAAGAGTGCATAGGAGGAATCTTGAAATGGCACTGGGAGGTGAAGGAATCAGTGACTCCATGTCCTGATTTTAGGCCTATGGAAAGTATGTAAGAGAAAGCAATTTCTACTTCTGGTCTGAAAAGGAGACCAGTTTATTTATAGGAAAGGTGGGTTTCAGTTAAAGCATAAGTTGTTATAGAGAATATTCAGTAAAGAGGAGTTTGTAAATCATGGAATAAGATTTAGGAGAGAGTCAGGAATTTGGGGGATTTGTGGGATGAGTGTACAGGGGAGTGTGAGTAAACAGGAGCTTACATTTTGGGTGGTAAATGAGGACAGTAGAGAGAATTTAGCAGGTATCTTGGAGGCTGGTGAGCAATCAGAGAACTTGAAATTCAGTTGCTTTCAGTGGGAACAAGTCTAATAATCTCGTGTTAAGTGGCAAGCTTGTACACTTGGGGTCTAGTAATCTAATGCACTGAAAGTGGGCACCAAGTTGCTCTGAGTTGCTCAATTAATGACGACTAAATGGATGGTTATAAGAAAAGGGTGCACGGTGAAACATGACCTGTTTAGTGGTGTGTTCCCTGCAGAATCTGGGTCAGTATAAACTGCCCAGTGTTTACTTTTGCCTCTAAAATGATAATAGATGTATAAGTCAGAGGTAGATTGGAATGAGCTAGAGCTCTCTAACGTAGAGATTACCGTGGTAATTTTGATCATATATATTTCACTGAAGTATCAACAACCTGCTTTTTAAATAAAATTGCTAATAGAATAAAGCAGAGAACTAAAAACTGGTTGAAATTGGCTTTATTGTTTTTCCCAAGGGGAAAAATTGCACAGATTTTATAAATGTTGTGAATGTTGTTTCACTTTGAAATCCACCATATCTTCGGCAAAGCTTAAGAACCGTATCATGTTGTTTGTTAATTTGCATTAATCAAGAAAATCAGTTGTGACCTGCTATAATGATACTCTCTTGTGGCTTTCTTTACTCTGTGCTTTGAGGTTGGATCTCATAATTTTTTCCCCTTATCTTTGTTTTTAGTTTCAGAGACCACTAATGATTCGACAGTAATGGATGATGTGGTTGAAAATCATGTTACAGACCAACTTTCATCAGACATTACACCAAATGCTATGGATACTGAATTTTCAACATCTTCTCCAGCCAATTTACTGGAACGGCCAACCAATCATGCAGAGGCTCTTGGTCATGACCATTTAGGAACTAACGACCTCCATGTTGGTGGATTTTTAGAAAATCATGAGGAGCCAAGAGGTAAAGAACAATGTGCTGAAGAGAATATACCAGCATCTTCACTCAACAAAGGAAAGAAAATGATGCATTGCAGAAGCCATGAAGAGGTCAATACTGAACTAAAAGCACAAATAATGAAAGAGATCCGAAAGCCAGGAAGAAGTATGTATAATCAGAGATAAACCTCAGATATGATTTCTGTGTGTACTTACCCCCCCCCAAAGTCAAATAACTGAAAGCATAGACATGATTCAAGATCAGTCTTAAATAACATCTGAGCTATAAAAGATTTGATTCTTTATTCAACTGACAGACACCGAATATCTGCTATGTCCAAGGTACTAGATAAGGTAGGCAGCAGAGACTAAGAGCAGAGGAGGACCACACAGATAAATTATACATAGCTCCTAGTTTCTCACATGAAAGGAACCCATAGTATTCTAACTAGCAGCAGAATTTTATTTAATTATTTTTTTTTATTTTTTTTTTTTAGAGATAGGGTCTCACTCTGTTGCCCAGGCTGGAGTGCATGCAGTGGTGCGATCATAGCTCACTGCAACCTCACTCCTCAGCTCAAGGGATTCTTCTGCTCAGCCTCTCAAGTAGCTGAGACTACAGGTGGTTACCACCACACCTGGCTAATTTTTTTTGTTTGTAGAGTGGGGTCTGGCTGTATTGCCCAGGCTGATCTCAAACTCCTAGCCTCAAGTGATCCTCCTGCCTCAGCCTCCCAAAGTGCTGGGATTATAGCTGTGAACCACCCTGCCTGGCCAGCAAAGGAATTTTAATATAGCAGCTAACTCAAAAAGATATACTGAAAATTAAATGACTGTATGTCTATAAAGTTCTCTTAATAGTGCCTATCACTGTGTTTAAGATTTAAACTGTGATAATGCCCAGGATATGTTCAGGCCAAAAAACTAAAGTTATGAAAGCTACCTGTTATATGACTACAAAAGAACTAAAAAAAAATTTTAATACTACTGGCATTCATTCAGAAGATGTTAATAGATCACTTGCTGTAATGGTAGTACAACAACCTGGGTGGTCCAGACGTGGGTAAGAATCAGTCCTTTGCAAAGTGTTATGTGAAAACTTACAGTCTTGCAAAGTTTTGTGTGAAAACTATAAACTGAAATAGCACACTTAACCTATTTGATTTTTCTTTTTTCACCTTCCATTTACCCCCCATGTTAGCTGTAGTTTAGAATTTAAATTGTAAGGATGGGTTTTTGTAAAGGCCACTTGCCTCTTATTTTTCAATGGTATTACCAAAAAGCTATTTACTCGTCTTTCTAAGTTTTATATTTGATACCTCAATGGGAAGTTTTACCAAAAAAGCAATATTGAACAAGTTGTTTTATCTTTGTTGATACATATTTTCTTTTACATATATATGCTAAAATGTATTATAAAATCTCATTATAAATATGAGTGGTAAAATTTTTACGTAGAATGTTGTCTCTATATCTTAATCTAAACTACAGTAGAAAAGTATTGAATAAGTACAAATGAAAGCCACTTAATTTTTCTTTTCGCTTCTTTTGTTTTAAGAATATGAAAGAATCTTCACTTTACTGAAGCATGTGCAAGGCAGTTTACAAACAAGACTAATATTTTTACAAAATGTCATTAAAGAAGCATCAAGGTAAGTATTGCACATTATAAAATGGTGATGAAACAAGTCCCCAGTTTATATAGGCAATATTTTTTTTGTTTTTTTTGAGACAGAGTCTCACTCTGTTTCCTGGGCTAGAGTGCCATGGCTTCGGCTTATCTCACAGCAACCTCAAACTCCTGGGCTCAAGCGATCTTCCTGCCTCAGCCTCCTGCACCACCATGCCTGGCTAATTTTTTCTATATATTTTTAGTTGTCCAGCTAATTTCTTTCTATTATTAGTAGAGCCGGGGTCTTGCTCTTGCTTAGGCTGGTCTCGAACTCCTGAGTTCAAGCGATCCTCCCACCTCAGCCTCCCAGAGAGCTAGGATTACAGGCGTGAGCCACCACGCCCAGCCTATATGAGCAATATTTTAACAGTTTTGCACTTGTGTTGTTCATACATATATATTGACACACTCACATACAAATAAGTACTTGCTATTTTTTAGTTTATCAAAAGGAGTTCACTTAGAAAATAGCCCTATAGAAATCTTCAGAAATTACAGAACTTTCTCCCTGAAAATTACTGTATACTTGCATAATTCTTGTTTCATCCTCTCTGTAGTTTTTGGGAGACTTTATATTTTACAGCTTTTAATTTTTCTTTTTATATATTAATATTAATTGGTGATTAGAAATAACTAAGAAAGGCAATATGTAAATGTAGTTCATTTTTACATGTAAAGACATATAATTAAGAGGACCAGAGTTAAACAAATGGGCCTTAATCTAATGACTGCCCTTCTGTATTTCTGGGTTCCACATCTATGGATTCAGCCAACTACAGATTGAATGTATTCGAGAGAGAAAAATGGATGGATGATTGTATCTGTACTGAACGTGTACAGAGTTTTTTTTCTTGTCATTATTCCCTAAACAATACAGTGTAACAATTATTTACATAGCATTTACACTGTATTAGGTTTTATAAGTAATCTAGAGATTAAAGACTATGGGAGGATATGGGTAGGTTATATGCAAATACTGTGCCATTTTATACAATGTAAGAGATGGAGTATTCGTGGATTTTGGTATCGAGTGTCCTGGAACCAGTCCCCCGTGGACACTGAGGGACAACTATATAAAGAATTCAACATGGCCTAGGTTGTAAGTGATAACTATAAAGTGCAATCAACTGGAAAGCATAGTTGTATGAGTTAAAGCATTTTTTATTTTTCCTTCAAGACTTAGAATTTTGGTATTATAAGAAAACTTAGGGTTTATCTTATCTGACTATCCAAATGTAAACTATACCCACCCTTTAATTTGTCCCCCTCTCTCTTCCATGCTACAAATAAAGATTTTAGATAAAGCAGTTAATTTGGGGGGAAAGGGGGTGGCCAGAGCATAGACCACTTTGAAGGATCAAGACAAGGCCATAACTTTTCATATAATTTTGAGTATTTAACTTGTTCTGTTCTTTACGATAATGTTCTGTCAGCTTCAACCTCCTCATGGATTTAACTATATTCCTGGCACCTGCACTCCACTTCAGCCACCTTTTAGAGAGTTGTATACTACTATGGTGGTGGCTGTTCGTATTAGCTTTCAAGTAGAGAGGAAGTAGGAATAGAATGTACAGTATTTTTGAATATTCTAGAAAGCATCAGCAGTATTAATCTTTCTGTTGATTAATACAATTTTAGTCTACCTATATTTATTATTGAAAAGTTTTAAAAATTGCTACTTGAACTTTAACTGCTTGCTATATCCTGTATTATAGATGTGTAGTTATCTTTGATTTGCTAGCTTATTTCTCCTTCCATTTTGTGGGGGATTATATCTAATATTTATACTTTGCCCACATTCTTTTCAACATTTAACTTTCAAAGAGCATGAGAAGAAGCTATTGGAGTAATTGATATAGAAGCCCAGATTTTGCTAGAGTATTTACAACCTGTGCATATATTAGTGTTTTTTTTTTTGGTTGTGAAAGGAACAACCTCTTTCCCATTGTCTAGGCCTAGAGTATGTGTTTTAGGGACAAACGAGAATACTGTACTGGTACAATAATTTACTAATCTTCCGGCAGATTTTATATGTCATAGAATGTTGATTTTTTTTTTTCCATTTTCATTTCATGAGAAAAATCTTCCCGAAGCAATTTTTCTGTCATTTTTAAAAAATTACACTAGTGTCCATTAAAAAGTAATTAAGAGTGCTATTATTTTTTCATACAGGTTTAAAAAGCGAATGCTAATAGAACAACTGGAGAACTTCTTGGATGAAATTCATCGAAGAGCCAATCAGATCAACCATATTAATAGCAATTAAAAGAAAATAGAATGTGGCCACTTATTTCACTATCTTCTCCAAATACAAAGTAAATACAAGACTGTTGTGATCTTGGATTCGTTTTTTTTGACATGCGTTGTTGGCTATTTGAAATACTAAAAGCAAGTCTACAGATCCTTTTTCCATCATTTTACAGTGACCTTTTCTTCATTTTGGTTTATTTTTGTAATGTGAAAACTATCACTCTAAAAAACATTTTTATTTAACAAACTAAAAATATTCCTCCAAATCTCTTGCTTGTCATTGACTCTTGCGTGTCAATTTCCCTCAGGTTCTATTTTCTTAAACCAACCTTTAAAATTGTCACCTCTGTTAAGGTTGAACTTTGCCAAAAAAAATTAAAAAGAAGTTACTTTGTAATTTTTGGGGAAAAAAGCACATACATTAAAACTAGGTAATGTTTTGTATATACAGTTATTTTGGATATATTATTGTAAGTTGTACAAATGTATTTTGAAGAATATTTAAGAAAAGCACTTTTGTTATTCCATCAATAAATGCTCTATTTTACTCTTGTGTGGTTTAGGAAATAATCACATTTAAAGTAATCATTTAAAAAAATCCTAAGATAATGGAATTTTAAAGGCCTTGCTTTTTAGCATTGGAAAAATACACCACTTGAAGTTCATATTTGTTAAACCTAACTGTAATTACATGTTACATAATCTGCATTGTCTTTTAACTATATGTTTGTAGTTTTTGCTGGCCACACCAACATACTCCCATTTTTGCCTAGATAATGGGAATTACTATGTCTGTGGCAGACAGGCAGACACGTTAAAAGCTGTTTCAAAAGCAGACAACTTTGGACATTATTGGTTTCCTTACTTCCCTTCAACCCCTTTTCCTTTCTCACTAAGATTGTGGGTGGCAGGCACTAAATTGAAGCTGTTAGGGAGTGGTAAGTTTGGGGTACACTGTATACTCTGAAATGTCCAGCCTTTAGCAGCTTGGTACCATGCCTACAAATGTCTACAACTAATTGAGGATTCAAAAGGATCTCTTTGTTTTGTTCTGCTGTTCTCACACTTAAACTCTCAATTTCATTTAGAAGCTAAATGGAAAGGAAACATTTAAGAAGACTTTGTTCAATTTGCATCCCCTTTGAGTTACACAGGATAAGGAAAACCAACACTATTCGTTCTCCACCCTCAATCCAACATGGTCTAGTGTATCCTTACTGAGGAAGTGATCCTATGGCCTGACTCACTCACCATTCATAGATCACAGCTGTGCCTTTTAGGGGGTTGGGAGTGGGGTAGCCAGTAGAAAAGGTTAAAATAGATTTGGATTAAGAGAGGGCAACAGAAACTTAATAAAATAGAAGTATTTTTAGGTTTATAATATTGAAAATCATATACCCTTTTTACAATGTATCAGAACATTTTTTTTTAATTTTAAGAGTAGCAAAATGAAGATACAACTTTTTATGAAGAAAAGCAGCGATGAAAGTGGAGAACATGCTCGAGATCTGCTAATTTAGGGGATTTGAAACTCTCCCAATACTGAAGACAAACCCTGTTAAGAAAAAGAAAAATTTAACATAACGTTATATGGTATTTTCATATGCAATTCTTTAAAACTTGCTTATTTCTACAAAAATACCTTTAAATAAAGCAGGATATCATTTAATAAATGGAATTGTTAAGGTAACTGCCTATAGTCAACATTGCTAAATTCAACAAGTTACACAAAATCCAGAATATATTGTCTGCTCTTAAATTATATATATTTAGATTCTGAGATTAATAGGAGGGATTAGAAGTCATTCAGATAAAAAATCATACTTAACAAGAGTATCTAGGAAAGAGATTGAGTCTATTCCAATATTTAGCAGCTTTCCTTATCACAAAGTTCTTATTTCCATTTCACAAGTTGCTCATGAAGTAGAAATCCTTTAGACCCTTGACCTTTTAATACATTTTCCAGAATGAACCCTGAAGGAGTTGGGAAGTAGCAGTTTGTTCTGTCTTCTTTTTTTGTCGTTTGTCTCTCTGCCACTATACTCTTTACACCTGTCCCGGAACCTAGTCACGAGATTTGAAACCCATCAAAACTAAAGCGTAATATCCCATCTCCCTCAGTTTTAAAATGCAAATGGTTAAATTAGTGAAATATTTATCATAGAATTCTTGTCAGGAAAGGGAAAGAGAATATATCTGTGGTGGCAGGGGGGTGGAATATCATGTCTTTTAGGCCCCTTAGGTCATCGAATGACTTCAGGCTGGACAAACATTCTCGGAAAGTTTAATCTTGAGGTTTTTAGATCACTTTTCTTAATGTTCCCCTATGTGTCTCACTTGTTCATCAGTTGCTCTTATCAGTGAAATTTGTTAGTTTGGAGAAGTGAAGGCTGAGACTCAATTCTAATCTCTTCAATAAGTGTCACCAGAAGAATAGCCACTTTGCCATGTGATGTGTGGGCAAGTACTTCCCAGAAAGGTAAATAAATTCACAAGAACTCTGCTTCTATTTGCGTCGGATTGGGGAACTGGTTTTGGATTACCCTTATGTTTTCATTCTGATTACTAAAGCAGTTCTGAAAACTCATACCATTGAAATAGTGGTGTGTCTTTCCTAGCTCAAGGATTTTCATCACTTTTATGCAGTTACCAACCTTTATTGGCTACCAGCTTTTGGCAATCACCTTTCTGCTGATTTAGTACTGTCTCTTTGTTTCTTGAGGGAGTAGAACCTGTCCTTTTTTTATCTTTCATTTTTTGACATGTATCCTTCCTAAGAAAGGACTCTTTGCTACCTGTTCTGAGTGATAAGTGACACTTTCATCTAATTGATACGGGGTTGGGATGATCATGGTGAAATACGAGGAGGATATATTCTGTTGATGGACTTTTTTCTCCCCAAGTAATCCCCAAATAGATTATTTTCTAGTGAATGATTTTCATCCTTTTTGTCACAAAAAAAAATGTTCCTTTGATTTTTAGCAAAAGTTACAGCAGTATGCAAATGATTCTCAGATAAAATGATGTTGACAGTATTTCCTTAACAATTTGTGTAAAACTATGCGTAATTTTCATTATTCTAACTTTTGACTTTTTTTCTCTCCATAAATAAAAGTAATGCCTGATGTTTAGTTAAAGTAGATCCACCTTTGCTTGATTTTATTAGTCTTGCTCCATCCTATTTCTCTTTAATACACTGTTTAGACTTGCCAACAACTATTTACTGAGAATCTCTTTTCTTTCCTAGGCTGAAAAGTAATTGTCAGAGGGGGAGGAGGAACGTTAAGAGGAATAGTTTAAAGACTTTGTTCAATGTTGTGTTGAAGCTTAAAGGACATCTGCATGTCCTTCTGGTGTACTAAGGTCTTGCCTGTACCATACCATCTTTGGATTAAGATAAGGTTGTATAGTGGGGCTTAAACATTTGATTTTTGAGAAAGATCAACAGAAGAACAGTATAGGAATCCAGATGCATTCACTAGCTTCCTAGAGTCACTAGAGGACTACTCTGTTATACTCTAGTGACTGGAAGAACCTACCTAATTTCCAAAATGACACAAAAGCTAAGGGACAACTGAAAAAAAAGAGGCAAGGTTTATTATTTATTTTATAATACTTTTGCAATTTTTCTAAGTCTCTCCAGAAGTAGAACCTGAATTTTTAAAAAATCTACATTAATTACAAATAAGCTGAGAGAACAAGAAGGCAAAAAGCATGGAGGATGATAGTTTCCTTGGTAATTATGAAATAGTCCCCTTTCTCAGCACACAAGACACAGCAACTGGGAAACTTCTGAAGCACCGTAGAAACAGCTAGAAGGAATGCTTGTTTTAGTCTGTAGTGGACAAATGAACCCTTGTTGTTAGACACTGATAAATATTTATCTGAATCCTGTCAAAAAATACTGTAGTACCTGTATGGGGTTCTCTCAGGAAAAAGATGAATGGCCGATCTGCTTTAAAAACGGGAATCCGAGACCTTTTCAGTAGCAACAGAGCTACAGGAAAGATAAACAATACAAGAATCTCATTGCATTTTTAGTTAGTTTAAAAGAAAATCTCTATTTAAATTGGATATGAAGTCAGTTATATCCCATAATTTTTGAAGACATCAAAGCATCCTAATGACATTTGTTTACTGTTGTGATGGGGGTGCCAATGGGACAATTGAAGAGAAAAGATGCCACTTAGCCAAGCCTGTCTCCTATTTTCAACATACTCCATGGAATAAATGTTTTATTAAAGTTAATTTTCAGAATGACTCTATTCCTTGTTTATGGGATGATGATACAAATCCTTTTCAAAATGGTATCTCCGTTCACCCATTACTTTCCAAAACCTTTTTGCCTTCTGTTAGTATTTCTTTTTTAAAAAATTCTGTACCACAGCTGAACTTGGGGTTTTAAATGGAAAGGTTTAGAAGTGTGAAGATTCAACTGGATAAATTTAACAAAGTTATATACGGGTGGTGTGACTGGATACTTCCCTTTAGGAACATACCTGTAGCTGCAGATGCCTTGGTGCCTTCCTCTAAAACCTCAATCTTGGCATTGTGGATCGCTTCAGAAACATAAAAGCCATCTTGGCCTAACCCCAGGAAATGACAAAAATGTGAATTGCTTATTTACATTTCTCAATATATTTAGATAAGGACTTCAGTATATTTTAAAAGAATTCTTACAAAATTTGAGTATCCAATTCCGCTTATTATATAGCTGGGGAGAAATTATTTGCTTGGAAAATTCTTAAGGTTCAATGTTTTATACAACTTTCAAAACCTTAATTTGTTAAATTTATGTCATCTCTCCCAAAGTAATATTCAGAGTACTGCCTCATCTTTTCAATGGTTAATTTTCAAAAATGATATCTACTTAAAAACTCTTCCTTTAGCCAGTATTTCTAAAACCTCAGTGGTCATAAAAATTGCCAAGGTGGGTGTTAAAATACAGAATCTGTAGCCCAGGTATTATTTTCAGAAAGCTTCTGAGTTGATTTTCCTTGACTGCTTTCTTAGACTGCATTTTAAGAGCCACTTTTAAATGACAAGTCACAGGTTTATATTATGGGCTTTATTAAGAGGCACAATTCAGTGTATTAAAAATGTGCCTAATATTGCATGACTGCATTCTGTATGCTCAGGTTATACCAGTTATTCAATTAGCTTGTCTCATGGGCTAGAATCTGCAAAGAGAATGAGAGGTTAGTATAATTATCTGTGTGCTAACAGTTTCAAAGACAAAAGCTTAGCAAATAGAACTATGAGTGATAGCTTAGAGGAACTGACAGACGTTTGTAATTTAACTATTAACCATTGTTAAACAACTCTCCAAAGATGAAATGGTACTTGATGACACAGTATAGAGTGAAAGACTTAATGTTTAGAACCAGAAGAAACTATATTCACTATAAGGAATGGTTATTTTTCAGCATCAGTGAAGGGACAGGTGAGGACCAGAGGAAGGGAAAAATCAATGGAAACATTCACGTGGCATCACTTGTCCTAAAACCAGTGAAGAATCTGATTTGTTTTAGCATTTGGTCTTTTTCTGTAGGATCTTTGAGGAAAAAAAAAATTCTCTATCAGTAATTAGCCTCTCTTACTAGCTCAGGGAACAAACTGAAATGCAGTGCCAAAATTACAGAGAGAAGGTTATGGATAAAGAATGCTGCTTTGACAGTCATGAGAAGGTTCTACTAATCTCTGTGGCTTCGTTACTATTTAGGATGGTGTCTGAACATTTTAAACGAATGTTGAGGAAATGAGCAGATGTTCACTGTGAAACTCCTTATCAGCAAAAATTTGGTTATACGTGTCTGTGTTCAGGTGTGTCTGTGGTAGTTTAGGCACCTCGGCACAGTGTGAGAAATGGGACCAATTGATATGAATGAGTCTTCAATTAGATGGGGTGGGCTATTTCATTTGTTTGAAATCACAACCAAAGAATTTCAGTAGTTTTTCTCATCAGACTACAGAAGTGGTCTGATAATTGACATTTATATGTTTGCACACCATTAAGCCAAGACCCATAGCCTGGCATGACTCAGCATCAGCAGCTATTAAATTTTATCTCTGGTAAGAGTTGACATTTCAAAAGGCCAACATGTGTGATATAAATGAGAATTTGGGAGTCATCTCTGGGTTTGTTTTTTTCCTCTTAATCTTATATTACAGATTCCTATTGACTGAGTTTTTTGTTTAGTAGCTATTGAAATATTACTCATCAAGCACAAGTCAAGCACAAAGGGGTTCTCCTGGTTTTTTTTCTCCTTCCCTGAAGTGTTGACAGCTGCTTAGAGCCATCAAGGGGCATATAACCTCCGTTCCCAAAAATTTGTTCTCAAGATTGTTTATAGGTGGCATTCTGTAAAAAGGCTTCCATGACTAATTCAATGTGGGTGATGCAAGTTAAACATTTTTGCACTTTTGTTCTTAGTAGGAGACAGACCTGCCAATTTGCTAGCATTTGTGGTGAATCTCTACAGGAGGATTACAATACATAGCGCTTAACCATGGAACCACCCACACCATCCTCTGTCCCCAAATTTACCAGATTAGCATCCTGCGGGACATACTTTGGGAAACTGTAGTCCACCATAAACTTATTTGCTCCTACATTACATTCAATATCCAAAGGAAAGGGGCAAGTTTCTTCCTAAACCGTTTCCTGGCATAATCTCTGCTCTTCTTCCATTAACATCTTCTATAGGTATTTACCTCCCTTTTTAGACTGTTATCTCCTTGAATGCAGAAAGGATGTCTTGTTCATTTTAAATGTTTCTTTGCGCAACTTGCATAATAATGCTTGGTACACATTTATGTTTACTAAATATTGGATGAATTAGTAATAGACAGCCCTCACACTGTCCATTTGTTTCTTTTCCCCATAAAAGAAGCTATCTTAACGTTCTTTAACCTGATTTCACTTGTAAGAAAATGTTGATTGGTGTCTGTAAAACCATAAGGGCATAGCATAGAGTGGGTCTTCTGCAAGTCTCAGCCAAAAGACTGTTTCAGTGCCTCCTTCCTCATTGTTAGTGGAGACCATTATTCTTTGTGTGTGGTTGGTCATACTCTCAAAAGGTTTGCATCTTCATAACATGACATTGTGTGAACACAAGATTTACAAAATATAAATCAGTGTCCCTACATTTGATCCTCAGCTTCTCATAATGCAAGATAAACATACCTTGTTGTCACTTAGTTGCTAAAAGATGTGGGGCGGGATGTGTATATGTGTACACGTGTATGCACACACGTGAGAGAGAGAAGTAGCACTCAGCCGGGGATCTAGAGGTGAAGTGCTAAGAAGCATCTGAGATGGCCTTTGAAACCAGGCTGTGGTTACTTCCTTCCTCCACCCATCTCCCCTAGCCCACTCCTCACCTCTTTCTATTGCAGCTCTGACCAGACGTCTGATGTGGCATAGTTAATTTACATACTCAACCGAACCACTCGGGGTGGTTTGCTCATTTAAGTCATAGTTACATAGAGCAGAGATTGGAACTGATTACCCACTTACAAAAGCCAAGAACAAGATAGTTTCTTCAAAGTTTCAAGTTTGTGCACAAGAAATATTTCTTGGATTAGAGACTGGAAGGTCTCTATCAAAGCCCGCTGATGCATCTTTAGCTGGTATCTTCAGTGTGAGTGAAACTGAAATTTCACGCTCCTAGTTGTGATGGGTGGAGGGAGGGTGAGTTTGCTGTGTCCTATGGCTATACTCTTAGAAGCTTCTTAACAACTAGGGTCAAGGAGTCTGGGGGGGAAATTATACCCTGAGTTCAGTTGGGCCTTGAAATGATAGGGAGTTCTTCCCCCCCCCTTTTTTTTCCAATTGAGCGAATTCTTCAGGCAGCAAAAAAAACGATTTGATGTGAAGAAGGAAGAGACAAATGACTCTTAAATGGGAAAGGAGAACTTGAGTAAAATGTTTCCGGGCTTTGGAACCCAAAAGCCAAAAGTTCCTGTGGTGGTTGGGCTTCCATCAAAAGCTCAAAACTGCTTGGTAACCCCTCGTAACTGGCGGAGGGAGGCCAGCATTTTCTGATCACTGGCGAGGTCTCAGCTGATGCTGTGCTATGTTAACTGTTTCTACAATTAAGGTGTGAGGTGGAGGATGGCTACCCCCATTTTAGGAATGAAGAAACCACTTCTTGGAGAGATTTGGTGTCCTTGTTTCTAGAATAATGTCAAAAGCCCACTTGGACACAGAAGTGATTAGTCTCTCGATTATGTTTAAAGAAGAGCATTGGAGAGCAATATTTTAGTTGGCAAACTTTTTTTATAAAGGGCCAGATATGAAGTATTTTAACCACTGCAGGCCACGTGGTTTCTGTCCCAACTACTCAACCCTGCTATTGTAGCAGGAAAGCAGCCACAGATAATTTGTAAATGCACGGGAGTAGCTGTGTTACAATAAAACTTTACTTATAAAAGCAGGCGGTGGGCTGTGGTTTGCTGACTGCTGCTTTAGAGGAAAAAAACTTCATGGGAGAAGGTTATAATGCTGGCATGTTTTGTCAGTAGGAAACACCCATGCAAGCTGCACACTTGGTGTGTGGTAACTGCCTGGTAATTATTGAATAAGCCAGATCCATGAGCCTATATTTCTGCTGGTTTGAACGAATATAAGGAGACTTGAATTGCATTAGAAAAAAAGAGATTAGGTTTCAAAAAAAGCATGTGCTTATTAGATCTTGTCAGAGGAGCTTATGGACCTTGGAAGTCTTTACCAACAGGGGAGTTCCACAGTGTGGGTTCAGATCAGTCCTGTTTGAGGACACAAGATTGATGGCATTTTAGGATGTATTTCTAGGACACAAAAGAAGAGAGATTTAAGGGTTATGAAGTGGGCCATAGTGATTAATTAAATATAGTAGTGTGGAAGAAAAGGTCAAGAATGGCCCTAAAGTTCTGAACTAACATGATCAAAAGACGAATAGAAGTGCCATCAACAACAGGGATGTCATGGCTGAGCTCTGGAATCACAAAAAGATGCTATGATTGGATTGCACACGTTATCAGAGATAGAATGCACTTAAGTTCTGTATCCCTTGCTCTTTCCTTGCCCTCTGCTCTTTTCACTCCAGTAGTCCTCCTTTCCCTGCAATGTCACTAGGGAAAGTTTCTTGTTGAGTCATTCTACCAAGTCCACAATATTTATTGGGTATCTAACTGGATGCCAAGCATTGTCGTGGGCACTATGCCCAAGCTCAACTATTGTTTTGCTTCTCTCTTTGCTTGCTTAGGCAATGAATATAGTGCTGGTGCATTTTAAACACCCTAGAATAGATCCTTCCTCCAGTGTTTTATTTGATAAGAAACTCTGTCAGTCAATCTGTCTGGTCACATCTGAAGCCCAAGCCAAGAATTCTCTCATGGGTCAAAATCTCATTTTTTTTTTTTTTCTGTGATTGCCTAAGAAGAAAGATTCTGAGCAACGCTTTAGGAAACTCTGCAATATGATGTTCTCACATTCAAAATAATGATTTTCAAGCTCATCAGGTAAGGGAAATGTCAAGGCCAATGAAAATACCAGCTACAGTGTCATCTTTGCACAGATAATTTACTATCTGGAGTAGAAACAAACCTGAACCTTTGCATTGGCAGTAGTTTAGCCAATGACGTCCTGAGAGGATTCTGGAACATAGGTTCTGGTATTCCACTCCCCTTTTATATTTGATATAAGTCCCCTATCAGATCACAGGCAAACACAGCTCCTATTGATCGGTAGTAGCATGTCAACTAAGAAATTCAATATGGATACTGGGAGGGAGAACATTTTAAGCAAGGCTACAGGAGCATGGGTAATTGAAGAAAGGAAAGTGGATAGATGAGGGACAGTTTCAAGGCTAGCGTGTTAGAAGAGGACTGAAGTATAAGGAAGGGAGGGAAGTAGAAACAAAGGGTGACCATGAGGCTGGCTGGACAGCAGGAGGTTGGGACAAAGCGTGCTATAGCGGCACCAGTGTCTCTGGTGCCCTCCAAGTCGTGATGGGCAGAGGGAGCTGACTTTGCTGTGTCCTATGGCCATTGACCACACTGTGAAGGTGGTCTCCCAAAACCGTGCTTGAAGGTCTCAAGAAATGTCCTTCCCCAGAAAGTCTAACCCACATTTGACTTATCAGAAGCAACACACTCTTAGGTGAAACAAAGCACTTTCTTTATGCTTTTACACAATGTTAACTGTGTTTACCACTAACGACTCTGGAAAAACAGTGGGAACCCTTAATCAAAGTATGATAAAACAGCCCCAAACACAATGCCAAAAAGTTTGGAAGAAGAACTGTTTTGTACCTGAAATTCCTTTCAAGTTGGCTTTGAGTGGATCAAAAAGATCAGTGACTCCCCAAGAATTTAAAATACTTTTTAAGTTGAATTGATTTTGGATCCTAAATCTGAAAAGCAAAAACAAACCATCAACTTTCATTTAAAATTCTCATTCAATAGACTTTCCTAAAGTCCCTAACTTGGGCATCAGGCTCCAGCAGGTTCATTTCCAGCTTGATCTTCCATTGCTCCTTCCCATCAACCCCACCCACCCACTAATCTGACCACCCATGGCTCTTTGCTCCCTCTGTCCTTTGTTCACACTGTTCCTTCCAAGTCCTTCCCATTTCCTTTGATTGTCTTTTAATTATTATCCATTTTTCAATTGTTACCCCCTCCTCTTCTCTCCAGCTGTTTTGTGACCATTGGCTTGGTTCCCAAAGCCCCATCAACTCTTAGTTCTACTCTTAGGATGTATAGAACATTCTGCTTCCTATTACCATTATTTATGATATTGTAAACTCCCCAAGAAGAGAGGCTATCCCAATTCATTTTATTTCTTAATAAGAATTAATATTTAATGAGTGCTTATATTGTGTGAGGCACTGTGATAAGAGCTTTATATGGATTATATTATTTCATTTTCATATGTTATTATTATCCTCATTTTACAGATGGAAAAATTGAGACTTAAATGAGTTTAAAAACCTTGCCCAAGATGACACAATGAGTGAGTGATGGACTTCAATTCCAATCAAACCCATCCTCTGATCATCTACACCTGTGGTGTCCAACCCCTGGGCCATGGCCTGGTTCCAGTCCGTGCCTGTCAGGAACTGGGCCATGCATCACCACCCGAGCTCTGCCTCCCCATCCAATGGAAAAATTGTCTTCCATGAAACTTAGGAACTGGGCCATAGCAGGAGGTGAGTGGCAGGTGAGCAAACACTGCCTCCCAAACCCCAAGTCCCCCAACCCCCACACTGTCCGTCCTGTCCATGGAAAAATCGTCTTCCATGGAACTGGTCTGTGGTTGCCAAAAAGGTTGAGGACTGCTGATCTACACTTTGCTACCTTCCATCTCGTGTGGCATCTCACACATAGTAGGTGCAGAAAAGGAGTTGTTGACTAATCCTCAATAGAGTGTTTATATTGGGTAAGATAAATTCTCACATTGGCTATGTACAATGTGTGCCTTTGCTGCACAGCAGAAAGGAATGCAACTTAAAACCTTGGTTTTCCTCGTAAGCCCTGTGAGCAAAAAGAATCAGCACACCAATTTTATAATATTTCCCCAAGGGCAAGGCATTTATAAATTTACTGTTGAAGGATCCTTTAAAAGGGCAGCTGCTATTATTTTTCTTTGAAAATAAAAAAGTTCAAAATGGAATTTAGATGGTCTTTTTCTATAAATAACGCAGCATTTGCAGGAAAGTAAAAATACTCGACAAGACCATTTAATATCAAAGGTCTTCACTGCTACACAAGATGATGTGACCAATATTTTAAACAAAAGTATCAGACTTTCTCATAAAGGTGTGTTTTGAATCTTCAGAATAGTTTCCAAGAAAGAAAGGTGCTTTCTCCAAGGATGCTGACATTTCTCAAAAAATTTTTGGACCATCTCTTATGAAATTTTCTTAAGTCCTGAAAACTCATCTTTTTTGAAACCTCAAAATGATGAAACAGTGGTTAAGAGCATGAACTTGGGACTCCAGTGCCTGAGTTTGAATCCTGGCTCGGCCTCTTATTTAGCTGAGGAACTAGTTACTACTTTACCTCTGGGGCAAGTTCCTTTGCCTCTTTCTGCCTCAGTGTACTCATTTGTGAAACGAGCATAACAATAGTGCTTGTTCACAGGTTGTGAAGATCAGATGAAATAATCCTTGTAAAGTGCTCAGAATAAGCCCCAGCACAGTCCATGCTCTTACATTGTGATTTTACTGTTGTCTCCCCATGATATTGAGAAAGAGTTAAGGGCTGTTTGAAACCAAATTTGGTGATTATGGTGGGTGATAAAACTGGATAATATTATTTTTAGTAAGCTAAAAACAGCAGTAAAAGTGAGGTATGACTATAAAGATTAGAGTGATTGTCTTGTATAGCTATAAAGGCAGATGCAGAAGAAATTCTACAAAAATAGCTTGAGTGGAAAAAAAAACCCACCCTTTACGAAAACCAGACAAGGATATTGCAAGAAAAAAAAAAAAACCTACAGACCAATATCCCTTGTAATACAGATGCAAAATCTTCAACAAAATGCTACTAAATTGAATCCAGCACCATATAAATCCCACCATGACCAAGTGGGATTTATCCCAGGAATGCAAGATGGGTTCAACATATGAAAATCAATTAATATAACATACCATATTAATAGAATAAAGGAAAAAGGCCACATGACCATCTCAATAGGTGCAGAAAAACCATTTGACAAAATCCATCACCCTTTCATGATGAAAAATGGACAAATATCAAACACTCAACAAACCTGGGATTTGCCGACTTGATGAAGGGCGTCTACAAAAAACCCACAGCTAGCAGCAGCACACTTTATAGTGAAAAACTGAAAGCTTTCTCCCTACTCTCAGGAACAAGACAAGGATGTCCACTCTGAGCACTTCTATTTCACATTGTATCAAAGGGTGGGCAGGGCAATGACATGAGAAAGAGAAAGAGAAGTCATCTAGATTAGAAACTAGAAGTAAATCCATCTCTATTCACAGATAACTTGGTGTTATATATGAAAAATCCTAAAGAATCCATTAGAGCTAATAAATGAATTCATCAAGGTGGCAGCATATAAGATCAAGACACAAAAATTAATTGTGTTTCTATACACTAGCAGTGAACGATTTGAAAATGAAATTGGGAAAACAATTCCATTTACAATAGCATCAAATGGAATAAGATACTTAGAAATAAATTTAACAAAAGAAGGGCAAGACTTGTACATTGAAAACGACAAAACATGGTTGAAAGAAACAAAGATCTACATAAAAGGAAAGACATCCTGAGTTCATGACTTGGAACACTTACTCTTGTTAGAAAGCAATGCTCCCCAAATTGATCTACAGATTCAACACAATCCCTATCTAAATCCCTCCTGCCTTTTTGGCAGAAATTGACAAGCTGATACTAAAATCCATATGGAAATGCAAGGGGTCCAGAATAGCTAAAATGATCTTGAAAAAGAAGAACAAAGTTGTAGGACTCACAGTTTCTGATTTCTAAACTCACCATGAAGCTACAGTAATCAAGACTGTGTGGTACTGGCAAAAGTATAGACATTTATGCCTACGGAATAGAATTGAGAGTCCAGAAATGAACTCATACATTTATGGGCAATTGATTTTGAAAAGGATGCCAAGAAAATTCAATGGGGGAAAGAATAGTCTTTATAGCAAATGGTATTGGGACAAATGAATAGACACATGCAAAAGAATGAGGTTGGCCCTCTACCTTACACCATACATAATAATTAATTCAATGGATTAAAGACCTAAATATAAGAGTTAAACCTATAAAATGCTTATGAAAACTATAGACATAAATCTTTGTGACCTTGGTTAGGCAATGGTTTCATAGACATGACATCAAAAGCACAAGAAACAAAAGAAAAAATAGATTAATGGAACTTCATCTAAATTAACAACTTTTGTGTTTCAGAAGACACCATCAGAAAAGTGAAAAGAAAACCCACATAATGGGAGAAGAGATTTACAAATCATATATCTGATAAGGGACTAGTATCCATAATAAATGAAGAACTATTATAATTCAACAATAAAAAGACAACCAATTTAAAAATGGGCAAAGGATCTGAAATAGACATTTCTCCAAAAAGGATATATAAATAGCTAAGAAGGACGTGGAAAGATGCTTTACATCATTAGTCATTACGAAAATGCAGATGAAAGCCACAGTAAGATACCACTTCACATGAACGAGAGTGGCTATAATTAAAAAGATGGACACTAACTAGTGTTGGCAAGGATGTGGAGAAATTGGACTCCACACATTGCTGGTGGGAATGTAAAATGGTGCAGTCACTTGGAAAACAGTCTGGCAGTTACTCAAAATGTAAAATGTAGAGTTACCATGTGATCCAGTAATTCTATTCTTAGGTATACACCCAAGATAATTGAAAATATATATCCACATGAAAATGTGCACATGAGCCAAAAAATTTCTTGGCACCCAGACAGCTATGAATTGATGAATGGGTAAACAAACTGTAGTATATTCATACAGTGGAATATTATTCAGCCATAAAAAGGATTGAAGTAATGATTCATGTTATTATGAACCTTGAGAGCATTAGTCTAAGAAGCCAGACACAAAAGGCCACATATTGTAGAAGTTCATTTACATTAAATGTCCAGAATAGGCAAATCTATACGTGGCCAAAGCAGATTGGTGGTTGTCAGGGGCTGGGGGGAAGGAAATGGGGAGTGCCTGCTAATGGGTATGAGGTTTCTTTTTGAGGTGCCAAAAATATTCTGGAATTAGATGAGTAGTGATGGTTGCACGACTTTGTGAATTGTGTGCTTTAAAAAGTGAATCTTATGGTATATGAATTACATCTCAAATTTTTAAAAAAGAAAGAAACTCCCTTAGAAAAGCATAAACCACAAGATGATAAACAGCAATTCCTTGGAGGGAGGGCAAAGCATTCTGCATATGGGAGCTCTGGTGGGTTAAAAATACACACACATGTCATATGTAACATAAAAAATGCTCATGGTCTGCTTCTTACTATGTTGACCTAATAACCAAGTATTTTATTCATTAAACATGTATTCGACATTATTAGTCTTTCTTGTGGGGCATTATATGTTTACGGCTATAAATGACTCTTAACACTCATTCTTAGTTTTCCTGATTATTTCTTTAGTATGCTAAATGTCCCTAATGAAGACTAACAGTCCCTATGCATTTTATTTTATTTCTTTATAAGTAAAGGTTACGTTGGAAGCTAGACATCATAAATGAAAAGTACAAGCTGACTACAGAGCAGGAAATAGCAAATGATGAATGAATGAGTTGAGAGAACTAGACGTAAATTTTTGCCCAAAAGCTGACTTTGTGTCTACCATGATTCAAAGTTTATACCTAAATCTAGACCTTAAAACAATTTTTACTTCTTTTTGTATTCTCTCTAGTGGATTTAAAGCTAGCTGTTTTTTTTTTTTTTTTCTTGGTTAGTTTTGCTTGTGAAATAGGCTCATTTTCTTGAAAATATCTATCCTTGTTGGACAGCAGGTTTGATAGTCTTAGAGAGATTTAAAAAAAAAAAAGAATCAGAACGAGGTCAAGTATTAACTAGTAGTTGTGTTACTAAGATCCCTGCCTTTCTGCTCCTTCCCTGCCCTCCGATGTTTGTCAGATCACCGCTCCAGGGTTTGACACAGAATCGGAGGGGTGGAGCTGGGTATTTCGCTGGGGCTTCTTCCTACCCCAGCTGCTCCAGGAGGAGGCCAGCCTTGCCTCCCGAACCCAGAGAGACCGTGGCAAATGCCTACACAGCCTGCATTTTCTCTCTACTTTTGACATCGAAAGCTCCTCTCCCTTCCCTTGCTGAGCTTCTCTCAAATGTAACAGGGAGATCACCGTTGCATCTGCTCCATGCAGAGACATCTGTTGAAATAGCCAGTCTTTGTGCTTTGATTTGGGGTTTTAGTTTTGAGAGATAGACTTTACCTCAGAGTTAAGTTCACCTTTTGCTCTGGGCTATGCCAGATCCCACTTTAGACCTTGGCCCTTAACTCGCTGGGTCTCTCTTTGTATGTTTTCTTCCAGTCGTAAGTTTCCTTCCAGTGCATGGACTTATTTTTAACTCCTCAGAGGAGCACTGCCAAGGCCCCGGGCGGTGGAGGAGGGCCAAGGCAGCGAGTGGGCAGCAGCACGAAGAATTCACGTGCTGAAAATGAGCCCTGGACAACGTTCCTTGCTTAATGCTGGTCTACAAATGGATTATCAATTTACTCTGATTTCAAATGTACCAGAGAAGCTCATCACTTAAGGCAGTCCTGAGAGGAATGCTGTTTAAAAGTAATGAGTTAAGCTAATCATTTTGCTTTGGAAAAGCAAAATCAAGGGCCATCCTTTAACTTTTTGGAAATTTGTGTTTGTACCTACTGGTATTTCTTAAAGGAGGATTTACCTCCATTTAGAAAGAATGAGAACCCTCTGCACAGAAACTTAAAGTCTCAAATGTTTATGCCTTAATTTGGCTTCTGATCAGAATTATATCTGTCTTTGCTCAATTACATAAGCCATCTTGGTTTTGGAAAAATGACAGCTGTATACCCTTAGGATGGGATAAGACTTGGGGCACATTCCTACAAAGGAACCTCACTGCGCTTCCTCCCCTGCCCTGAAAACTAGTTGTGGCCGGAGGCCAGATCAGGGGGCCTGGGAGCTCCAGTCTGGCCTAGCGAAGGCCCCAGGAAATTAGTTCGTTTCAGTCTGTGCCGTGAGCTAGTCAGCAGTGACTCTGACGTGGACTCAAACTCTAGGGTCACTTCCCCTTGGCCTAACCTCTAGGGGTACATTAGATCAGTCAGCCCAGTGGTTAGGGACAGACCCTAACGTCACACTACCTGGGTTCAATGCAAGCCCCTCTCACTGCCGGCCTCAGAGCACCCTGCAGGGGGATGCAGCTGCTCACCTGGGGAGGAACACGTCCATCCTGGCTCTCCTCAGGCTGGTGGTCCAGAGGCGGATGATGCTGGCTGTGAGGTGTGGCTCAATGTGACCCAGGGGGACGTCTTTGTCACGGGGCAGCACCAGGAACAGACTTGCCGCACTTCCCAGGTAAGGCAGCTCCAGCACCCCCACCTGATGGCCTGCAGCATCCTGGAACTGACCTGGGGGTTCAGTGGGTCAGGGATGAGCTCTGTCTCAGGAGCCAGGGCAACCGCGCAGTGCCAGCCCTGGCAGAGGCTGGCGCTCGGAGCTGGATACAACAGAATGGGGCATGCACCTCGCCCTTGGGAGGCAGTTTGAAGCCAAAGTCTGTTGGGTGATACGCTCACTTTTTCTGATCCTAAGACCTAGAATCTGAGGGCCCAAGTCAGAGGCCCTGCAAATGGCTGGGCATGGTAGGGACAATGGCACATGGGAGAACCATATATATAGTCCCCTCTAGCCTCAGGGAACTTGTTCCAAGACCCCCTGTGGACCAAACCCTATATATACTGGTTTTTTTGGTCTGATAAGAGACAGCTGCTACATGGCTTGTGAGTGGGTAACATAGACAGCGTCGAGGCGCTGGACAAGGCAATGGTTCACGTCCCGGGTGGGGTTGGGACAGAGCAGGACAGTGAGAGATTTCATCATGCTACTCAGAACAGTGCACAATATAAAACTTCAGAAATGTTTATTTCTGGAATTTTACTATTTTCACTTATGGGTAACTGAGACCTTGAAAAGTGACACCTGTACATATAAGGGGGCACTCCTGCCTCAAAGGGGCAACCAGTCCAATCCCAGGCCATGCGCCTGCCAGGGCAGGCAGGTTGGTCCCAATGGTTTTGGATTCTCATGAACCCCTCCTTTACTACGTGCAGAAGGAAATGTCAAGCGTGGAAGTGGGTTTCTCTTCCATGCCTGTGTCCTCACTGTCGTGTGGGAGCACGCGGTCCAAAGCCCATCCCTGACGTCTCCCAGCACACCGCCCCTCCCCGCCGCCGCCATCTTTCCTCCCGCCACAGGCTCGGTCTAGCAGGTGGACCCCGTGGAAACACATCCCCATCTTCATGAGCAGGGACTGGCCTCCTCCCTCCTGCCTTCCTGCCCAGGCTTCCTCTCCTTTCCACCAGCCAGCGGGGAGGGGCTCACCGTAGTTGACCTCGGCCGTTTGGTGCATCATGGGGACCTGGAGGACCAGGCCGTGGGCACAGGTGAAAGGCAGGAGCTTTGTGTCTGTGGGGGAGAACCTCTTCCGCCAAGTGCCTTGGAAGGACATGGTGCTGACGAGCGCCAGCTGCGCCGAGGTTGCACCCACCTGCTCCCCCGGTGAGCCCACTGGGCCCTCACCTGCAAGCCGGAAAGCAAGGGGGTTAATGTACACTCGGATTGAACTGAACTCTTTGTGTGTGGACAAGGAGTGCAGAGTTCAAATGCAAAAATTAAGGTCTTTTTTGATAAGGTGTTTTCTCTCTCTTTCTTTGTTTTACTGTGTCTTTGCAATTAAAAAAAAAATGTTTAATTTTTAAACAGCTACCAGGGGCCAAAAACCACAGGAGCTGCTCCCAACTCCTTGCTGGAGAAGGCATAAGGGGAGGAATGGAAAGTGAGGACTCAGACTGGGTCCCTGACACCTGCACGCCCGCATTGGCGGGCAGGGAGGTGTCTCTGAAGTTGGGTTTGTAGCCTACTTACTACTCTCTGTTACTGTGAATCGGCATGTGTTTATAACCAGCTGTTGCTGAAGACCACGCTTTTTATTCTTTCCTGAACAGATTGGGGTGCTCCTCTGATTCTGTCTGGGGCCATTTCACAGGAATCATTAGACATTCCCTCCCCAGGCAGACCCCTGGAGCCACTAGGTGCTGTGATGGGGATGCACCAGAGTGTCACCCCAGCCTGCCCACTGCCCCACCGCTGAGAGGCATCTCTTGCTAAGCTTCGCCTACGCAACGTTCAGGGCATGGCGTTTGGAGGGCTGCAGTTAAAATTTTGTGTATAACCAGAAAGAGGAGCAGACAGTCTACCCATAAAGGGACAGTTCTTGTCCCAGCCCTTTATTTGTTTAATAAGCACATACCTTGTGCTAGGCTCTGTTCTACCTGCTTTGACAAATTCCCGCCAACTCCTCCCAACAGTTCTATTGTTATCTCCCATTTCACAGATGAGGGAATTGAGGCTCAGAGAGGTTGGCCAAGGTCACATACTCCTGAGGAGTGAAGCCACCATCCACCCAGTTACACAAGATAGAAACCCTGGGTTTGAACCCAGCAGCCTGGCTCCACACTCTGCTCTGAGTGACACAAGAAGCTGACACAGGAAATTAAACATTTTAAAGAAAATTAAAAAGACATGGTAAAACAGAGAGAGAGAAAGAGAGAGAACCTTATCAAAAAAGATCTTAATTTGGGGGTTTTAACTCTGCTCTCCTTATCCACACATATATATTGTTTTCAGTTCAATCATAATGTACAACCACTTTCTATTCTGTTTTTTAAACACGTTAGGTCTTGACTGTTGTCCATATCTGTGTAGCTTTTGTAATTATCAAGGACACTGGAGCCAGACCACTGGGGCAGAATCCTGGCTTTGTGGACCCTGGGCAGGAAGTTGAACCCTCTGTGCCTCAGTTTCTCTTTTTGCAAAATGGGCGCAGTACTAGCACCTACCTCCTAGGATTAGTGTGAAGGCGAACTGAGATAATAAACTTGGAGCAGTGCTAAATAAATTAATTAAACACAGTAAATGTTAACGATTTTCATCGTCTTTAATAATAATTACAACCGCATAATATGCGGGTGCTGTGCTTCACTAAGTCATCCCTAGTAGCCGGACAGTTAGGCTGTTTGTATGAGTCTCTTTCATCAGTAACACTGGGCTAAACGTCTCATTGCATATGACTTTTTCTTCTCGTGAATTATTTCCTTAGCCTAAATTCCTAAGAAGCCACTTTTTTGGCTCCCACTGCATTTTCCCGTTGCCAGGGATTAATCGCAGCTGAGAGCAGAGCTCAGTGGGAAGTCACCTGGGGGACAGTTGCACGGACAAAGCCTGCACGGTCCACGTGGAGACGGGAGGCTCGAGGAGCCACCTCTGTGTGTCTGTGTGCTCGTGTGTGTGCGCGTGTGAGCGTGTATATGCGTGTGTGTGTGTGTGTGTGTGCGTGTGTGTGTGGGAGGGCACGGTGGTAGGAGAGGCAGAAGGGAGCCACAGATCAGCTTTGGCTGCTTCACAGAACGTGTCACTCTAGGGTGGAGTCTCCCAGCAGAACAAATTCCCACTGCCATCAAGCACCCATGGCTTCTGACAAGTGACAGGCGATACGCTGCCTTTGCAGCCCTCTAACCTTAGCCTCGTGGAAGTGGATGGGTGTCTTTTACCTGCAGTCTGTCTGGAGGCCCCTGCGTTGGCCGGGATGGTGGTGGCGTTGGGCTCGCTGAGGTTGGCTGGCTCCAGGCTGCTGTTGGCCCACCAGGAGACCTGCTCCACAAAGCAGGGGGACAGCGGCGTTCCCACTTGCACAAAAAGGCTGCAGGCCAGCTCCATCTCGGCACCTTGGCTGCAGTTGGGTAGTGTGGCATACACGGCATGCAAGAAGTCTTTCACCTTTTGGTCTGTGAGAAAGGAGTTGGGGTAAGTAGACGATGGTGAGTGAAAGGAGGCGGCTCGTTGCATCGCAAAGGGACCCCAGCAGCTCCCCTCTGGTTTCATAAGGTTCACCCACCATATTTAGTCAGTCTGAAAAGTCATAGCTAATCTGCTCAGGATTCAGACTGGATCCACAGACTAAAACTTGGGAAGAAACCATGCCAGATCTGAAAGCAATCAGGCTGTGATGGGGTCAAATAGAGAAACACGGGCCACACCCTGTCCAGGCCCAGAGACTATTCTTCGCCAGCTTCCTCACTCAGGAACATTGACGAGTTCTAGGGTAGAGGTTCTAGGGCTGGGAAAACAGCAGCTCCAATGCACAGGGTGACGGGGTTTCAAATACTTACAAAGTCAGAGATTTATGTGCAATGTCGTAAGTGACAATGATGGGTGGTGGCCGGGATGTTGCACTGTCAATATAGTTCATACAGGGGCCTTAAATCCATCCCCACAACTGCATGTCGTGAACCTGAGTGACATTTGGATGCAGCCTCTTTCAGAACTGTGTTTTCAATTTGAGAAATGCGGAGGAAAGGTGAGAACTCCTCCCTTCCTCGTCTCCCTAAGACCCAGCAGACAGCTCGCATTATTAATGTCAGTGAGAAACTGCAAGAATGTTGAGGAAATAATAAGCATTTGAGAGAGTCCATAGCATCCACCTTCTTGGGTGGTGCAGCAGGACTTGTATTTATTTACTCTCTATTTATACAGGAGATTGCTTCCTTCTCTCCATAATCAATAGTGGATTTTGTTTTCAGCTGTTATTCATAAGCTACACCCTTATCCTCCCACGGGCATCCCGTAGCTGGAACGAGGCCTTCTGACCGCCGATGAGTCTGAACACAGTCGAGTACCCCAAGCCTCCCACCTCTGACACATGCAAACTGGGTGTTTCCAGAAGTGAAGTCCCCTTGCTGTGCAGGCTGTCACTGGAATTCGGCCTTCCCTCCTTCTCCTCAACTCTCCTCTCTCTTAAGCACAGCCCTGCAGCTGCTCATAAACCCTCCCTGTGAGACACAATGCTGGGTGCCTCTTCCTGCACCATCTGGCCCCAGCTCACTCTCATTGGGATGAATCTGTCACTTGCTTTAGAATCTGTCCACTCTGATACCCTTTTTGTTGCAGAGGCCAAGCCAGGAGGCAGCAGCAGACCCCTGAGTTACCTGGCTAATGTCCTCTGGCAGGGTCAGGGGAACCCAGAATGAACCCCAGCCAGGGCCCCCAGCCACCAGGCTGCAGACCACAGTATCAGGCACACGTCAGTTGTCCACAAACGTTCTACTACCAAAGCTGGCCCAGCTGGCCCCTAAAATCCACAACTGCCAAAAACTGACTCAGAATAGAGATCTCACAAATTATAGCCTAACTTAAGTGCTTGCATTTTTTATTGTAGTGAAAAAAGAAATGAATGAAAAACATAATCAGACTTGACTCTATTGAGGAAGGTCATATGTACTTCTAGGATCACATTCTTGTAGAATGTTGATTGTCTGCAGAAGAGAATTGACATATTGTCCTGGTTCATAGTGTAGCATGACCTTATGAATGGTCATAGAGCTCCCCTCTCTATCTTCCCACCCTCTCTGCACCAGAGGAACCAGCATTCTTTTGGCCAGAAACGTTAAAACAGCAGAGTAAATTGGCTTGAAGTAAATTTTTGTGTGAAATCTTTTCTCTGTCTAAGCCTCGTTTGTCCATGCCCATTTGCACGGGAAGAGCTTTCCAGACCCTTCAGAGTGTGCATTACCAGAATGAAGAATACTGAAAATGACTGCGTTCGCAGACATTGTGCTCAACGCTCTCCATTCCTGATCACATTGAATGCTTTGGACAACCCTGTGAATTAAGTGCTATTGTTGTCCCATTTTATAGATGTGGGGCAGAGGACCAGATAAATCAGTAAACTTGCTCAGTGTCACCCAGTTGTAGGTAGTGGGGCTTCACTGCCCTGCCTGCCCACAGGGTGGGAAGACCCTGCTCAGGATAGCTTCATTCTTGAAATGAACGTGGGCTCTTGGAGCTCATAGCCTCCTTTTTTGCTGAATTTTCTGGGTTCCTAGATTCTTGTCTAGGAAGGTGAAAATTACGTGTGTGAGTGTCTGTCTCAGCCTGTAGCTGGTAGGTTGGTACTGCGGCCAGGCGTTGAGCTGAGGCCCCATGTGCGGGCCAGGCAAAGCTGGCCTGGCATTCGAGAGACTCTAGCTGCTGCTGGCAGAGCTGTTCTAAAATACATAATCCATAGAATTAAGCTGGCAGATCTGGAAGTAGCTAGAAGTCACAGATTTACAAAAGCAAGTTGGTCAAAAGCATGGGCTCTGGAGCCAGGCAGCTTGGGCTTGAGTCCTGGCCCTGCTGCTCATGGGCTGTGGAACCCTGAGCAAGTCGCCTCAACTCTCCGAGCCTGTTTGCTCATCTCTAAAATAGGGGTGCTAATAAAATTAGCAGCCCCAATCGGGTAGTTGTGACAATTAATTCAATTCATGTTTGTTGGGTGCTTGAACTACTGCCTGGCACCTAGGAAGCGTTATAAAAGGGTGTGTGAGGCCAGGTGTGGTGGCTCACACTTGTAATCCCAGCACTCTGGGAGGCCAAGGCAGGAGGAGTTCTTGAGGCCAGGCGTTCGAGACCAGCCTAGACAACAAGCAAGACCCTGTCTCTATAAAAACTAAAAAATTTAGCTGGGTGTGGTGACATGTGCCTGTAGTCCCCGCACTTTGGGAGGCTGAGGCGGGAGGATCGCCTGAGCCCAGGAGTTTGAGGCTGTAGTGAGCTGTGATCACACTACCGTACTCCAGCCTGACACTGAAACATTGCCAGGGAACCTGTGAGGTTAGAGGGGAACCTTCCAAATCGAGGCTAACCACCATTCCGAAGTCCGAATGCCTTCTGTGGCAGTCCTACCAGGTGGTCACTCTTCGCTACGCACATGCAACTGGGAGCTGAGCTCCCCACCTCTCAGGGAGCCTGAGCAGGAGATTGAGTGTGAGTGTGAGCATGAGCAGGCCCTTACCTTGCACGGTGTAGCCCAGGGCGTCTGCCAGCTGCCGGCCAGTGCGCCCTTCGGCTCCAAACTGCAGGATCTCCAGGGGGAGGGACACGCCAGCAGGAGAGATGACAAAGTTCGTCCCGTTTCTACCTGCTGCCACGCTCTGGTAGAGGCGAAGTGCAAACTCTGTCTTCAGCAATGTCAGGCCTTCACGGAGGTGGCCATCTCCCTGAGGGAAGCAGGAGTGAAGGAGGAAGAGGGCGACCAGGAGGGGCGGCATGGAGGCTGGCGCGTTCCTGCGGTTCAGAGGGGAGAGAAGCAGGTGAGGTGGGATGCTGGCGCTGGTGAGAGAGGGTCGCATCCCCAGAGGACAGAGATGCCGGCTCTGTTTTCAGGGGCTGGGCAGGGCTGCGCTGTCTTGGTTGCCCACCCCCAGTCCCACCTGCCCAGGCCACGTCACTGTTTCCTGCTGGGTCAGCATTCGAAATACTCACTGTGATCCTTTTGAAAGCCAAATCGTGGGCTGGAGGACTGGCTTCTGTCACTTACTAGACGTGTGACTCTGGCAAGGCCCTGGTCAGATCAGAAGTAAGCCATTATGTTGGGGAAAAAAATGTAAGAAGTAATTCTACTCATCTTTCTTAGTATTTAGCTAGTTTATAGCTGTGCCATGTCTATCAGGAATAATAATAATGATAAAAAATAAGTATCTACCATGTTAAAAAGGATTTCGTACATTGTCCGGTAATCATTCCAACAATCTCACTGGGTAGCTGCTATTATATTTCAACTATACAGATGATGATTGAGGGCTCAGTGACTCCTTCACGTGGGGAAAGAAACAGGGCTGCGACTCAAATCCCGGTCTTCTATGAGTGGTATATAAGATACTGAGAACACCTCTGTGCATTAAAATATTGATACAAGCTAATCGTACCTAGAATATCAGAATTCTTGTGATGTGAATTATTCTCATGAAAAAGGACGCCTTCACAATGACAGCCCCTACCATAGAAATGTACCTTCCAAGGAACAGAGCATTAGCTAAAAAGTAAGGCAAGAAGACAAAGGCAAAACAAAACGTGTTTGCAGTGACCGTGCCATGCATGCAGCCAGTGGCAATTTTTGCTAAGTTGTCAAACTGTGGTTATCACCCCAGATTGATGTGAGAGAGGCCTAGTGCAAAGGTCACTTCCTAAAGAAGTTTGCAAGCAAGGCCACTGGGCTTGACGGTGCTTGTTTTTGGATACAGGCCTAAGATGGAAAAGCAAAGCATCCTCTTTTTCCAACCCTTCCTCCCTGCAGGTGAGCACAAATGCAGTGCTTGGATGATCCGATACATGGTGTGTGTTGTGTGTGTGTGTATGTGTGTGTGTGTGTGTGTGTGTGTGTGTGTGTGTGTGTGTCTGGGGTTAGCAGGTCCCAGCCCAGGGCCATTTGTCATTTGTGAAAGCCTCAAGTCCCAGTGCTCTGGCAGCTCCTGTAACGTCCTGCAATCAGACCTTGACGTCCCTGGGCTCCCAAGACCAAATCCCCGCCACGGCTCACCTCGGATGGGCTTCTCACTCACAGGCTGTCGTATCAGACTGTGGCACGTTTCCTTGCTCACTCCTGTTCTTGTGGGTCTCCAGCAGTAATGTGCTCCCCTTTTAAAAAAGTGGAGCGGAATCTGCTTTGAATCACAAGACAGCACAGAGAGGAAGCTGGCGATGGCCGTCTCTGCCGGCGATGTCTCTACCACTCGGTCCAAATTCCTGCAGCCTGGAGGTCCTGCAGAGAGCCAGGAGAAGCAGCCCGGCCCAGGGCAGCAAAGCCCAGATCGGGAACAGAGCAGGGCCCTGGGGAGGGAGCCAGCCACACCCGTCAAGCCTTCTTAGGCTTGTGACCTGGTTGTACCAACAAGGAACCCCTCATCCAGCCCTTTGTCACAGTGAGGAATTCCACTGATAACTCCGCTTATCGGGCTTTTGCTGGGTACCAGGTACCTAATGCTTCCCCCTCCTCCTGTGAAGAAAACAATAAATCAGTCATTGGGCATGACTTGAAACTTGCAGCAAACAAAATTGTTCAAAAGAGAAAGAAAGCAATACAAGATACGGCACATTTAGTCTGGAGCAGGGCGACTTGCCGTATTTATTATTAATAAAAGTGAATGTGCTCATTTATTTATATGTAATATGAACACTATTAATAATCTTGTTCTCAGACACAACAGTTAATACGCTCAATGACTAATTTGAGAAAGAGACCGTGTTGTCAATGAGTAAATGCACATTTTTGGAAAGTGTGAGCAGGTTGTCAAAGGTCTGTCCTTGTCACCAATTCAGAATGACATACATTTCTATTAAGGTCTTGAGCCTGTATTAAGTTCAAAATAGACAGTAGCTTACATGTTGCTAAAGATTAAAGAAAAGAAGAAGACATTTGGAAACGAATGCAATTTTCAATATTTATCTCTCAGGTACCTGTTAGTGTTAATATTTGAAAATTAATGGGCCGTTTTTCAGCTGCCAACTGCCCTTTAAAGAGCTTTGTTGCTAACACACAAGCCCGGGATAGTTTACAGGTCTTAGGATAGTCACAGTTCTATAATTCTACAACTGTCTCACATGAGATCTCCCCAAATCTTTAATTCAGATGTAAGTTCATTATTGCATGTCTTGGACTTGAAGTCATAGTGTGTTTGAGGAATAAATATGTTTAAATTATTGTATAGCACCCGAGAGGGGATATTATTCACTTATCCATTCATCCATCCATCCATCCATCCTTCCATTCATAGATTCATCCAACGAATATCTCGTGATTGCCTGCTGGGTCACAAGTCACTATGCTGGGTCCTGGGGACATGGCAGTGAGCCAGCAAGCTGGGTGCAGATCTTATGGGACCCAAGAGTCTTGTCCACTGAGTACATGCTTTACATGTCGATGCTGATGACGTTAAGAAGAAAGTAACTTGTGAGGGTTGTCTTGCAATGTTGTGAGTTCCCTGTGGCCAGAATTATTTGATCAGAAGCCGATTCAGTACTTGCCAGCGGCGGGGGCAGAGAGATACTTGCAAAAAAGGTTTCCCAAATGGTAGAAAGGGCTGTCTGTGTGACCGCTACAAACATTCCTTTCTAAGCACGTTCCATTCTAAACTGCTTCTCAAAAACATTCTCAAGGAAAAATGCTAAGGGAACTTAACACACGAGAAATATTTTCTACATAGGTTAAACATTTCGAAGTGCGAATGAATGAAAGATGAACTGCAACTGATTTTTCTTTTGTGTAGTCAGCTGTGAACGTGGGTCAGTCACTGTGGTCTCTGATGATTCAAGCAGAGATTGTCATGTTTCTACCTTGCTGGGATGGATATCGGTTATACTGCTAAGGGAGGCTCTATTCTTGGAGATATTTATTCATAATTATAACAACAAAAATAGTGAACATTATCAAGCACTTACCATGTTCCAGCTACTCTATTAGATACTTTCCATTCACAACTGCAATGAGTCCTCCAAATGATCCAATGAGGAATGTATTTGTTCCCATTTTGCAGGTGAAGAAACCAAGGCTGAAGGGCTTAACATTTTGCCTAAGGTTCCACCAAGCAGAGCTGGGGTTTGAACTTAGGGCCCCTTTGACTCCAAGGCTCATGCTTTTCTTCACAATCTTGGTGGTGTCTGTTAGGAGCTGAGGTATTGGGTCTCTTGAAAACCCTCTTGGCTGTGGGATTCCAAGGCATCTGGTGGCCAGCCCAGACTCCGTTGGCTCACGGTGTGTGTCCACTCTCTCTGCCCACATGCGCCAGGGATGGATGCTCTGGTGAATCACCTGTAGACAGACTGCTAGGAGGCACAGCACATTTTTAATTTACGATTTTTCATTTTTCCTGAGCTGATTTCTTAGAGGCATAAACAAATCACTTCAGACCCAGATGTATACCAAACTAATGTGATGGACAGAAGCATTGCATTTTAATTCAGTTAGAACATAATTAATACATAGGCATCTCCTCTTTGTTACATAGGCTGCTTGTTTCAGGTTGTACAGAGAGTCCCCATTTGTAGCTCTGCCCTTGAGGAGTTGCTGTGGGAAGAGAGCATGCCCACTGATGGGACATGGTTGCCATCAAAGGAAGTCCCAGGGTACCCCTGGAGAAAGCCAGAGAGCCACGCAAGAAAGCCCAGCACATGGTGCCACAGAGTTGGGCAAAACCGGCAAGTCCTTCACTGGAAATAGTGCAGGTGGGCCTCCATCTGTCCTTCCAGAAAGGAAAAGGTAGAGAGAGCCACCTCTGGGCTTCCGGCTGTCACGGCTGACAGGTGCAACATGGCTCTCAAGTTCTTCATAGGTACTCTGTGCATAGACTCCAGATGAGCCGCTGGGCCTCTCCACCTTCCAATACCTTTCAGCATAGTGTGCTGGAGACAGCACATAGGCCTGGCTTAAAATAACTGCTTTTTAATAACTGTATACCTCGGACAAGTTGCTGAACTGCTCTGAGCTTTAGTTACCTCTTCAGCAAAATGGGCATATAATACCTACCTCTCGATGTGAAGATGAAAGGAGGCAGCCTCCATAAAACACCCAGCATAGCATCGGGTAGGGAGGAAAGGCTGAAGACCTCAGCTTCTCACCCTTCATCTCAAGAAAGGACCATTGAGGTCCCTTTCATGCTCGCATAGGAAGGGGCCTTGGGACTCACTGTGTGACTGGCTGGAATGTGAATCTATGCTCTTTTATCCAAAAGTGTCTTTTTAGATGACTTGCAAGGAAGAGGTTGGAAACTGGAATAAAGGTTTCTGGATCTGAATTCAGAGCAAATTTTTAACCTGACTTGTAACCCGTTGTTGTTACCTCAGGGGCAGAGGGTTGAGTTAGTCCTTCTCAGGTCATGAGCCATCATCACATTGGTCCATGTGCTCCACCCTTGTTTGTTATTTTGTTTCCTCTTAGGAATATGCCTTGAAAATTATATATTGTTTTGTGTGCATGCATTTTAGATTTACATACATACTTTTATGTTCTGTATTTCATTATGTTCCCTAATGTCTTTCCATAAACCGTATGTTTTTTCAACAGAAATTTTCTTTTTATTGAAAACTGCACTGAACACTAAGTGTCCACCTTTACAATAAACAAATACAGTAAGTAACTTACACTAAAACCAAACCATTATTTTTCTGTTTGGGACAACTTTAAATTTTTCTTTTGTCACAATAACAGGCAGGTACCTATACATAGGCTCAAAATAAGCTATAGGCTATCTTTTTAAACAAAAAGGCAATGATTCAT